AAAAGAGAAAAGATTGATTCCATTTTTAAAGCCAAGGAATTTTTGAGACGTCAGTTGGGATCCGAGGAAGAATCCAAAGATGAAGAATCCAAATCAAGTGACTCTGCTACCCCTGGAACGGATGAGGACTCTGCTGTAGAAACGGGTGTGGGTGCAATGAAAGTTACATATGATTTCAGAGATAGAAAACCAAAGTAAAGGCAGAAGGACTCTGAAAATTGCCTTTTGATGCAAATAACAAGAAGATGCTCAGAAAGTTCTCTCATAACAATTAACATACTAACACTGAAGCTGAGACAAACAAGAACTCTACAAGTATATTGTTGTACTAACACTTTAATTAATAGCACGTAGTTTAACACGGATATGATCTCCTCCTCTTGGGTTTTTAGTTTAGTGTGGTTATCTTTCCTTTATCCATAGATGTAGTCCCCTTCCCTTATATTTTCTTTGTAGTTTTTCTAGTCTTATAAAAATAATAAAAATATCCCTTCGGGGATTTTAAAAAAAGAAAAAGAAATAGCCTTCCTTAGCTAAGTATTTGTATGATGAAGAAGATAAAATAGGAAGTGGAGGAGGAACAAATGCAACTCAAATACAAACACTGACAAAGATATGGGAAAGCTCAATGAAGAATGTGTAGATTTTTAGAGAATGAGGATGTTTAGAGATAGAAATTGGTGCAGCTTTATATGAGTATCAGCATTTTTTTAAAACAAAAAAACACTACATACACTCACACACTGAGATTGGCCTGCAGTGCTAATGGTAATTCTTTGGCAGTGGTGTGAGAACGATAGCATTGGCACAGAAATTTGATTCTGCCTGGTAGAAGAATCACATGGTGACCTGCGATAGGCATTATAGAGAAGGTGCTCTAAGAGCATCACTCAAAGGCTGTTGTGGACCCAAAGTAGACCTTCTGCTGCTGCTCTGGCATTGATGGCAATGCAGGGAGGCACAGAACCATCTGACATCAGAGCATGAGATGTTAAGGAGGGGGAATGGTGCAGCCAAATGTGTGTAGTAAACATCTGGGCTCTAAAAGCTTCTTCCACATGTTAAAGAGTACTATGTCAACTGTTTCTCAGTTTTTCTGCAGTCCTTTAAAGCAGTGTGAAAGAGGCCAATTAATGAAAAGAAACGACTATAGTTGCTGGTTCATTCTTAGGCTTTTTATTAGGAAATACTTTGGTTCATAGCGCTTTAAGAGGCCATTCCGATATTCTTGAATATTTGCTGAACTTGGATTGGACAGCCTCTTCCCATTCGCAGAGTTCACTGACAAAACGTCAGGCACTTCAACAGGCGCTGACGGCATCTTCGAGCATGGGGCATTGTCAGGTAGAGTTGCTGGAATGACGTTACCTTTTGAAAGTGCTTGGGGTAACTCACCGACTTGTATGCACTACTGTAGTTGTGTTGATGTTAGAAGGACTATATTTTCAATTAAGTGAGGCTGTGAGCAGTATGCAAATAGAATGTGAAGATACATGTTATTTAAAAACAGACAGTTATTTCTTGTTCTCGCTCTGATGCTGGGAAACCACTTACGGTAAAAGCTTCAGGCGCCTTACATTGTAAACAGTGGTGGGCAGATTCCTCCCGCTTAATGATGTGTTCTGACTTTAATCCAGGAGTTTTGTTCCAACAATCTTCCATTGAATTTTTCAGCACTTTGAGCAACAGAAATATTAAAGGGAGAATTCTTACCTCTGTTTCCCCATTGTTGAAGGAAACCACTGACAAGGGAGATCCCCCCCCCCCAGTATCATAGGTGTGTGTTGTCGCAACCCTGATTGTTAGGAATCCTGGATTAAATATACCTTTATGTCAGAAAGTAATAAAAGCCAACAAACTAAGAGAGTCATCTTCAAAACCAGCCCTTTCTTGGCTGCAAAAATTAAAAAGCAACAATCTAAGACTCTTCTCACACAGAGTTTGTTTTAAAGTTTTTCTCTTTTGTTTCTGTATTGCAGGAATATACAATTGTGCTCTTCCGTCACATTATGAGCAAACAGAAAAACTTTCCACTGCCAAAAAAAAAAAAAGTAAAAATGCTTAACAAACAAAAGGGTAGTTTTCAGGGAGGTTCTTTCTATTTCTGTTATGGAAGAGCTGTCTGACAGGGAGAAAAGTTGTGAAATCTGCCCTAAAAGGGTTTTGCAGTCATCCCTAGTTATAAACGAAGCAAAATGAATCAATTACCAGTTGATACGACATCTATGAAATATCTGGATTTTCTCTCTCAAGTGCGGTTTTTGTACACTAGTATAACAGTTGTATTCCTTGCTACAAGAAAGATAACAGTTGATTATGGATAGCTGGTATATTAAAATCATAGAGTTGGAAGGGGCCTTCCAGGCCATCTAGTCCAACCCCCCTGCTCAGTGCAGGATCAGCTGAGGACATCCCTGACAAGTGTTCATCCAGCAGCTACTTGAAAGACTGCCAGTTGTGGTCCTGACTTGCTAGGTGGGTTTTTTTTTATCCCATTCACCGTAATCAGGATGATGTCTCAGCAGTTCCATAGATTCTGCCAAATTCACAAATAAGGGGATGAAAAATTACAGTAGGATTTTTGTCTCTACAATGTGGCTATAAAGGATTATGTAGCCATAGTGGAATGTACGACTGCAATTTATTTCTTGGAATTAATTATGTTTGTACTATTCTCCATCTGCCCCTGCTAATGTATTTTTTCATACAATTAATCTTGGCTTGCAAATTCCATCCTCCATAATGAGTGTGTGTGTGTGTGTGTGTGTGTGTGTTTAAATCGTGTTTTATTGCCATTTTGGGGGGAAATTGTTATTTGCAATGTGCACTCCTAAAAGCACAGAAAACTTCTTTATATAACTTGTATAAATGGAGGATTTGTCTTGACTGAAAGTAAAAGTCCAAATTTAAGTAAAGCTCGTTTTCATATTGCCAGGCCTCAGGAAGGTTTTTCTTAATAAAAATTGAGTTTGGAACAAGCATGGGAGTTGATATAGCTCAGTTTGGGTTAAAATATTACAGGGTTTGGTGTCTGTTTTTTCACTATTAGCGCTAAATATTTTTGGCAGGCTTTATACCAAATATGCTTGCTTTGTTTGCATTCCCTTAATTGTATTGTTGTATTTGGGTCTTGTAGGAGCTCATTAAAATAACTTTCCATATAAAACATCTGAAACTTAAGATAAACAAGTTCTTGTTTGCTTAAACTCTTGTTTCAAGTGAGACAGAAAATTAATTTATATTGGGGTAATGTACTAGTATTAAGGGATTATATGCAAAATTAACTCTGCATTTACAGGATACACATCTATACTAATAGTTATTTCTGGCTTGTCTATTACAAAGGCTTAGGCTGGGTACCTACTAAACTATGTTAAAACTACATGTACAAAACACACAAATAAAACATGTTTTAAAACTATAGTTTTAAAAACTGCTCCCTACCCCCCACTTAATGATCCCCAAGAAACCAGTCCAAGTTTTTGTTTTTTTAATTAAACGTGCCTTTGATGAAGAGTTTTTACTTTCAAGAAATCCTTTGCACCATCCCTTCATTACCTCTGAGCATCATTCGCAGAATCCTTAAATACTGAGAGAGATTCTGTGGCATATTTTGGAGGCGCACTGTGTTTATGAGAGGTGTTGAACTTGCCAAATGAACTGAGAATGTGCCCTCCCAGGCAAATACTCCCTTGTGGCAACATGTGGCAAAGGAATAATATTGGTAAAGGTGGGCAACGTGTCTTCTAAGGAAACTAGTTTGCTACTACAGATTCCATTGAAGGACTCCAATGGTTGCCGGAAAAAGCTCAAAATGCAAGTTTTTATGTTTTTTGTTTACAGAACTTGAGTGAAAAGGGCAAAAGGTGCCCTCTAACAAAGCGTGTGCCCTACTTCAACTTATATTGGCATTAGGTATCTTAAATGAGTAGTATTTGAAATTTACTGTGCCTCATAGATGTAGCTCATTGTTTATGGATCTTTCATCCACTACTAATGAGGTGCTGTAGAGATCAAGCTGATAACTAACCAGTTATTTTTTAAAAAAAATTCTTCATTGGCTGATTAATACTTTCTTTCTCCTTGACAGGTGGTTCATTTTCTGATAAGAATGGAAAAAGAGCCTAAAATAGACATCAATGAAACAGATACCCTGTGGGGAGAAACTGGTATGTTTATGTTGAGGGCTTCCAAAACAACTGTTCATGTAAAATTTATAGTAGAATAAAGACCAGATGCTATTGCTGATATTTGTCATTGTGAATGGAACAGCAATTATTATAGGTGCGAACAGGAATATGGCTTGAGAAAAGGTATAATAATTAAATATATTCTAAACAATTGTTACATTAATTTATTTTGAATTTGCAGAAGTATGATTATGCACGTTTCTTAAATTTTCAAAACTTATCTGACAGTTAATAAACTTGCACGAAGTAAATAGGAATGATAACAGAAAAATAAGTTTGTGGATTGTGAGGAGCAAGAGGAAGCAGAGTGGCATATGACAGTAAATGCTGTTTGATGATGTATTGGGGGAACATACTCCATAAAAGTGGGTAAATGTTAGATGTTAAACTGAAAAAAGAACAAGAGAGTCACCATTAGCTGGTTCCGCTGTGAGGAAGGAAAGAAGAGGAAAATGGTAAATTACAGTAGTTGTGGTAGTTTCATCACCATTAGTAGAATTCATCATTGATTATTTTGGAAAGCTGTGGAATTTTTTGTTGAGATCTTTTTTTAAGGGACGGTAGACACCCTTGTTGGGAAAGTCCCAGAACGGTGGACAAAAAGATCAATGCGGTTGTCTCAGAATCTCTGATAGTGTGCTGAGCCACAGATTACTTTCTTCCGTTACTGTCCTTCCAAGTGCTTGTAGCTAGAACACCAGTACTGAGTTATGAAGAGGTATCGTATAGGGAGAGGGAAAAATTTGCTTGCGTTACCCCTGCCACAGAGGAGGAAGGATGTAGAAGTAACAGGGTAGAGTTGATCAGTGCAGCCACATATTCCTAGTGATGCTGGGAGGACAGGGTCTGGCCTGGATTTGGAAGGAGGCTCAACCAAGAACTTGTTCATTTGAGTTTTAATAATTTAAATGTATTGCCTACAAAAGAAATACATTTAATCATGATCATACATTGAATTGTGTACTCCGTATTTGTGTGAAGTTTCTGTACAACCATAAAATCTAATCTGGAATTTAATATCTCAAATGGCTTTTTATTTTATTTTTTAATAAAAGAACTCAAGGCAGACAGAACTTTAACCTGTGAGTAGAACCTGGAGAAATCCCAGACCTCAGAGAATTCAAAAAATTCAGTGCTCCACATTCTTCCTTGCATCTCCTCAGTGGCTCCAGTACCTGCCTTTATAGGCCATCTCATACTCTAATAACGAAGTTGTGAAATTTTTGGATATTTAAATCTGATGATTGCAGCTGTGAACAGGCAATACAGATATTTCCACAAACCTGAAAATGGCCCCAGGTGTGCAGAAAAATCTTAAAAGAGCACCTGTAGCTTTAAGTAAGGGATTCCCTCAGTGTTCGTTGTTAGGCAACAACAGTATTCCAGGCTGGGTTACAGTGAGTAAAAGACAGGGGAAGGAGCTTACAAGTGTGCAATCCCCCCCCCTTTTGTTTTTTGTTTTGTTCGGATCTATTGGAACCCCACCCCCACCCCAATTCAGGATTTCCGAAAAATCCGGAATCCCAATACAGACAAAGTATTCAGATCGGGGATTTTTTTTGGAAATCCCAAATTTTGGGGGTTGGTATAAAGGGACTGCAGAAGAAGCTGGGAGGCAGGGAGTAGTCAGCTCTCAGCTGTTTTCCCCAATATTTTCTGCTGTCCATGTAAACATTATGCTGACAGACTTGCACTAGTCCTTTTTGAAACCAATGGAGCAAAGTTTGAATGAATGGATTCTTAAGCGATACTGGCTTTGATGAAAGAGGATACCTGAAATGAAGTTTTCACAAGCTAGCCCTCTGTCAGCTGGATTCGGATGGAAATGTCTACATTTTCTCTGAGAAAAGGACACTTGAAATGAATGTTGAAATAGCACTTTTTGCACTTTACTGTGACTGGTTGCCAGATATTTGTTGAATGTCTTTACAAATGTGTATTGGAATTTTCAGTCCTAGTATTGCATAAGTATTAATGATCAATACACAAAAATTATTGTATAACTTGCATTTATTAATTACAATAATATATGAGTTTATAATTAGTAAGTTTTCATGGCATAATATTTTTGATAGCTTATTCCTGTGATTCTCTCTTTATTCTTTAGTCCCTGTAAACCAGGCTGGTTTAAAGGGATAGCAGAAGTAGTCAGGCGGGGACAGCTTAGAGGCAGGAGCAGTCTCCCAGCCTCTCAACTGTTTGACCCATTTTTTTCTGCAGTCCCTTTAAACCAGGCCGCAGAAGAAGCGGGGGGGGGGGGGGGGGGGACAGGGACAGCTGGGAAACAGGGAGTAGTCTTCCAGCCTCCCAGCTGTTTTCCAGGAGTTTTTCTGCAGTCCCATTAACTAGGCTGGTTTACAGGGATTGCAGAAGAAGGGGGGAAGGAAACAGCTGAGAGGTCGGGAGCAGTCTCCCCATGTCACAGCTATTTCCCCCAATCTTCCTGTTTTCCCCCCAAAACCCCAGATACTTTTGGGATGTCGAAATATACCCCCAGAATACCTTATTGGTGTCTTTCGGGAATATTTTTGGGAAGATCCGAATGCGCACCCCTAGAGAAGCCCTTTCCAGGCCTCTTTTGGCCTTTGAGGGAGAACTTCTTGGGGCCAGGCTTAACTAGGGTTGCCAGCTCCGGGTTGGAAAATTCCTGGAGATTATGTGGTGGAGTCTGAGGAGGGGAGGGTTTGGGGAAGAGAGAGGTCTCAGCTGGATATAGTGCCATATAGTCCACCCTCCAAAGTAGCCTTTTTCTACAGAGGATCTCTGCTGTCCGGAGTTTGGTTGTAATTCTGGGAGATCTCCACCCACCACCTGGAGGTTAGCAAACTAGGCCTGGCAGCAGTCTCTGTGTGACGACACCACTCAACTTGTATGACTTAACTAGGCCTGACTGCCTGCTACTGTTCAACAGCAGTCACCCTATGGAAGCCAGTGTGGCATACTGGTTAGAGCTTCAGAGTAGGATCTGGGATACCCAGGTTTGAATCCCCTTCTTGCTGTGGAAGCTCACCAGGTGATTTGGGACCAGTCACATACTTTCAGCATAATCTACTTTACAGGGTTGTTGTGTGGATAAAAGGGGGGGAGAGGAAACTAATGTATGCTGCTTTGGTCCCCACTGTGGAGAAAGGTGGGGTATAAATGAATTAAATAAGTAATATAGCAGAAGATGGGAGGCACATAAAAGGTAGATTGGTGAATGGCTGAGAAGTAGAGCATGGGGCAGGGAACTGTGGCACCACACAACTGGGCCACAGTTTTCCTAGATAGAGGATGCTGGGGGGGGGGGGAAAGTAGAAAAAGTTAGAAAGAAAGCTTAAGACAGAGGGGCAGATAAAGGTAGGTTGGCTTTTGGGTGGGAAGGAGATAGGATTGCCAACTCCAGGTATGGAGTATGGGGGTGGGGCCTGGGGAGGGTTGGGTTTGAGGAGGGGAGGGACCTCAGAAGGGTATAATTCCATAGGCTTTGCCCTCCAAAGCAGCCAGTTTTCTCAAGGGGAACTAGGGTTGCCAACCTCCAGGTGGGCCAAAGACAATAGGGAACCCTTAGCATGCAAATATAGCCACAAACAACACCCACTAAGGGAAGACCATCCTCAATTCACAGCTATATGTGCTCAAAACTGTACATTGCATTCACTGAAATACAAAGAAGGGTTAGCGGTCATAGCTCAATAGAGTGTATAGACAGAAACTTATCCAAAAGATTGCTCATAACAATTAAGCATATTTTACCCAAAAAAACCCCAATAGTTGGCTCCTCTGTAATTCCATACATAGATAGTGTCCATAGACCTCCAACCAGCAGAAGACCCTCCTTGTGGAAAGAATAACAGCCATACGTCTCTCCCAAGTATAATTCAAGACATTTCAATAATTTTCAACAGCGGCTGGTAAAACAGAACTGTGAAGCAATCATAAATATACGTAGAAAGACAAGATTGACTGCATAATACATATATCAATTCAAAAACATAGAAAAATGTATCTCACTCAATTTCCAAAATAACATAGGCACAGCTCTGTAGCTTCAATGGAATCCTACAGGTTTCTACAAGGCAACCTGCCATGCAGCATCTAACCATATACAAATCAATCGCAATACAGTTTCTTAAAGTGGATCTGTCCCATTTTTCACAAACATGCCTGAGTTTCACATACACTCATATTCTATTCAATTGCAGTCATCCTCAAATAAAGGCAGTCAAATTAAGCGTCTGATTAATTCCATTTGGTGGTAAAGCTTTTAATTCAAAAATCAATCTAGACTCTTTTTGCAGTAAAATTTGATTAGCATTTTGAATGGTGAATGGTTTACTCTGATACACAAATGCCACAAATACACTAATCTCTTCAGCACTATGTCCGACTTGTGCGTAATGTTCTGTCATCGGGGCTTGGCTAATGTTATTATGCACCCTAGAGGGCCGCGGTAGCTCAGAGGTTAAGATGCTAAAGCTGCAGACCGGAAGGTCTGTAGCTTGGCAGTTTGAGACCCTAGTGCCGCGGGATGGAGTGAGCTCCCGTCTCTGGCCCCAGCTCCTATCAAACTTGCAGTTTGAAAGCAAGAAATTGCAAGTAGCTAAATAGGTACCACTTCGGTGGAAAGGTAACAGAGTTCCGTGCACCTCGGCGTTTAGTCATGCTGGCCACATGACCATGGAAACATCTTCAGAGAGTGCTGGGAGATGAGTACCACAACCTTAGAGTTGGATTCGACTAGCTTTTGAGCAAGGGGAACCTTTACCTTTAGAGTGGTGTTCCAACATGCGTGTATGGATGACAGGTGGGGGCTGGAGATCACCTGGAATTACAGCTGCTCTCCATATGACAGAGATCAGTTCCCCTGGAGAAAATGGCTTCTTTGGAGGGTTATGTCATTATACCCTGCTGAGGTCTCTTCCCTCCCCCCTCATCCTTCCAAGGCTACACCCCCAAATCTCCAGTACTTTCCCAACCTGGAGTTGGCAACCCTAAGGAAAACTGATCTCTAGCTGGGAGATCTGTGATTCCAAGAGATCTCCAGGCCCCACCAGGAGGTTGGCATCCTAGAAGAAAAAGAGGGAGATGCTGTGGAGGTTTTCCGGAAAGAGAAGGAGGAAATAGTGGGGGAGGGGGAAATGAGATGCCTCCCACAAGTCCTTGCAGGTTGCCACTTGTTTATACTTAATTTTAATTTCCTTTGCATTCCTGAAATCCTTCCTAAAAACTCCTGACCTTTAAAACCTGAACCTTATTAATCATACGCATATTTATGCATATATAATTAATGAAAACTAATTGTTATCTAAGATTGCTTTAATCAGCTGGCAGCCCTAATTGGTATGAGAACATTCCAATATATGGCTTTTGGGGGGAACAGAAGACCACTGTGTTTACAATAATGCATTTTTTAAAAACCTAGACTAAAATGTGCAGTTCCAAAGCTGGTCCCTTGCATGACTTTGAGAGAAATTTCTATGACTGAATATATCAAAATACCCACAGGACTATGTTCTTATGTTAAAAGCATAGCATCTGTGAAACAGACACTACCGAAATAGCACCTCACATGCAAGAAAATGTATGAGCCAGCTTATCGCATTATATTGTGTTACAGCAACTTCCAGCCATTGTGTTTATCCTGTCTTCAGAATTTCCTCTCCCTCACCCCAAGTTACCACTTCCCTCAACAGTCTTGGCAGGAGACCAAAGATCTGACAAAGATTATTAGTTTTCATTTAACCTAATGGGTTGCTCTCATATTTTCCATTTTGATTTGATCAGTTGGTTGTTTCGCTTGCTCATTTAAATTCTCTCTGCTTTTAAAAAAAAACAGAGTAGAAAAATCTTTTGCTTAGACAAATCAGAAATGGGCCTATTCAGCAGAGTGGGTAGACATTCCTGAACAGAGTTTTGTCCAGGGATCTTGTTTGCTTAAACGCCCTGCAGGCAATTTTTCAGCCCTGCTTCTTTCCAAACATGGCCGTTTTTGGGACACACTGTTTTCTGTATCTTAAATGACCCCCAAGAATGCAGGAGCTAAGACTGATAGTGAGATAACGGGCAGGCGGGTCTCAGGAGTTTCTGTTTTTGAAAGAGTGACAAGCTTGTTCTTGCATTAGCAGTACTTAAAAACCAACAATGTAAAAAAAAAAACAATGGTCAGACTGAGTCTAAATGGTCAACAAGGTTCTAAAATAATTGTATGTATCTGATGCCATTAAAAAAGAAGCAGACTACTTTCTATAGTCCTGCTTTTTGGAAAGGAAATCCGGTCATCCTGTGTTTTAATTAATTCAGAGTAAATTATTTACTCAATTTATTACCCGGTTTTTTCTCCAGTGGGGACTTAGAGCACTGTGCAAAAACATCCAAATACAATTAAAAACAAAACAGCAGCTTAAACAAACAAAAAACTATTTAAATAAAGAAAACAAAAAACATGATAGCAACATGAGCAGGTTCTGAAGCCCAAGGGACAATTCACACAATGGCCATAGGCTGTGAGTCTGGGCTGAAAGCCAGAGGGCAAAGAACCCTTTGGCTCGCACCCAAAGACTTGTGCCTGTGGCTCATGTAGGCTTCAAGTACCTGCAGACAGGAAGGAAAAGGGTAGTACCTGCAGAAATAATCCAACCATAACTGGGAAAGAGCGAAATGCAGGCAAATTAAGGGTTGCCAGGTCTGGCTGACAAGTTGGCAGTGGACTTACCAGGAGGCTCTGGGAGAGGGGAGGGAAGAAGTACGATGTTCCTACATCCCCTTCTGAAGTGATGTATGCACGTTTTTTTGGGGGGGGGGACACTGGTTTTTGGGCAAAACTCTATGGCCTTTGGAGCCGAATAACATGTTTCCCACAAACTTCATGAATCCCCATGAAAAACATGGGCGGATCGTTCTGAACCAGGAACTGGCCTGGTTTATGCTCAAAACTTCATGAATCCCCATGAAAAACATGGAGGTTCACGGGCGGATCGTTCTGAACCAGGAACCGGCCTGGTTTATGCTCAAACTCGGGTTTGTTTGAGGGATTGTACCTATCCATAATGTCCACTCAAATGGGCTGGACATTTAGTTGTGAACGCTCCCCTGATGTTTTTCCATATGCTAGCCTATAAGCAATATTGTTTCTGCAACACTTCTGCCTAGTTGACTGTGTCTGTACACAAAGGATTCCAGCAATGAGAAGCCGTGTTAATTTTTAGCTTCATATAAAAGATTCAGAAGCTAATGTGTGCCTAATGACCAAGAAACAATTCATGATGGGAAAATAAAACAAGTGTATTTTCAAGCTTCGTAGATAAAAATGGAGAGACTAGTGATTGAAAGACTTGAATTTGTAGCTTAATTTTTAAGGGGATACTGTGGAATGTTGAAGGGTAAAATTCCTCTCATCTGTTCATGGTGCCGAGACTATGGAACTCCCTCCCCAGGGTTACTTCTCTGTCTTCGGCCAGCGGGTGCAGACTTCTTTGTTTTATATGATGTTTCCTCAGTGATCCCTCCTTCCTGCCTTGTGTTTTAATTTGCTTTCCTGTGTTTTATATACGTAATTTAGCTCCAGTATTTATTAGTTTTATGAAGAATTTTTATTATGCTTATTTTAATTATTAGCCACCTTGGTGGTCCCGATTGGGCAGAAAAGCTGGATGTTACAAATAAAATGAATTTCCCCATTTGTACACAATCTCCTGAAAGTACACCCACTTACATCTTTCTTTCTGTAAAACAAAATCACTTAGGGCCAAAACAACCCCTTCAACAAATCTTTTGATTTTGTGATTAGGGTATTTCCCCCCCCCAAAACAGTGAAAGCTGCAAAAAGTAATAAAATACCCCATGAGATTTGCCCCCCTCCCCATCGAGAAAACACTGATTCATGGAAGCATTGTTAATAGCTCTGAAGAGAGCCAGCCCCTCACTCTTTTCATATAAAAGTGACCTGATGACACACACCCTTATTAAATATGCAAAAAGGGGACATGGAATCTAAATAAAAAAACCCATTCCATATTATTAAGTATGTATCAAGACTTTGGGTGTTTGAAACAAGATATAAGAGTTGTGAAACATACAGGCTTCTGCCACCCCAGTTGGATTTTATAAGTGTGTGGGATATTTTACTACCCTGAGATAACATTATAATTTGGCTTGGGTTCGTGAATTTACCTCAGGTACAATTGGATCAGTTGTAATTTCTTAGTTACAAGCATTTGAGAAATTAGACAACTGGAGCAGCGCCAGGCCTACATGGCCACCAGGCTCAGGAGTGGTTCCCGGGCTTCACTGCAGCTGTCGCCAAGTCCAGAGCAGTTGCCTGACTCCAGTGGATGATGCAGGAACATCAGGTGTGCTCTCTGTGCTTGTACAGAGAACACTCTTATTTTAGGGGAGATTTAAATCCCCCAGTGTGTTTTTTTTAATTGTCAGATTTTTCTGCAAGCCTGGAGGGGTTCCCCAAGTTTTCAGAGGAGTCTGTATTGTGTCAGTGTGGCTCTGATTCACACATTTAACTCTCTGCAGAGTGGGCCACACTTGATAATTAGAATATAAGATGATAAGAAGGTGTCCTTAGCAATATTATATACACTATTGAGGAACTCACTTTTCTAGAGACTTGCCAAAGCCTGAAACTCTGTGCAAGGATGTTTAAACATTTTTATTCAAGTTGTTTGCTATCTAGTGTTAAAAGGGAAAGTGAAGATTCTATCTGTATTTGGAGAACTCTAATCTACAGTGTTGACTATGATTACATGTGCAAATGGAATCAAAGACATGTCAACTTCCCAGTCCATTTGGCATGGTTTGCACCCCTAATATCAGTTCACATTATCTTAAGTTCCTTATGCTTTGGTCAGCCCTACTGGGACAAGAGGCTATAATAAAAGGATCATAGCTACAGAGTCAAAACCACATTCTCAGTTGATCTGGCTCATCCATAAATCATGGCAGTGCTTGGCCAGAAGAAGCAAGGGAGAGAATTGCCTCTTGCAAAAAAATGGCTATAATCTCTGTGCTATTCCCAAATTAACCAATACAATAAAGAGTGCTGATGTTACTTACGAAGTCAAAAGTTACTTATAAAGTCAAAAGAATCAACACTGGAAATCCGAGTGGAGTCCGATAAGATAGCATTATAAGTATGGACTTGTATGATTCAGTGGGTAGGAATATCTGTCTTTTTAATCTGCAGAGAGTCATAAACACTAGTGGCATTGTGTGAACAATTTTCTTTTAACATTTCTAGATCAGACAGATACAAATGCTTCTACAGTTTGTTGCTATGCTTTATATCAGAAAGCTCAGACATCTCTGTCATGGGTCATTTTAAGTATCTGAGAATAACAAACCTTTTGAGTAAGAAAAGACTCATCTGTCTAAGCCATGTTGTAAATAAACATACACAGAAGTTTTGCATCTTAATCCTTTTTAATGTATTTAAATTTGGTAAACTAAATGCCTTTCTTTCTCTCTTAGCTTTGACAGCTGCTGCTGGGAGAGGAAAACTGGAAACGTGCGAACTGCTGCTCGAACATGGTGCTCTTGTAACGAGAAATAATAGGAGAGGGATCCCTCCACTCTTCTGTGCTGTGCGCCAAGGACACTGGCAGGTGGGGCAACCTGAGGAATAAAGCAGCCAGTCCCAAGTTAACTTTTGGAGCATGGGGAACTTCTGTGATGTTAAGATGGGACCAGCCAGGCTCGGCAAAGCCTGTGGGTATTTGAACTAGCAAGATGGTTCTTTGCTTGCAGAATGTAATCGGAATCGATGGATTAGTTCTGTACAGAGGGTGGTGTTCACATTTCCAGAGAGAGAAAATTCCTGTGTCACACCCTGAAAGAGGTTTGCTGCTGGATGTGCCTTCAAGGGTGTGCAAGCACAACAGTGCAATGGAAATTTATTTACACTTTTGTTTTCAGATTGCAAAACTTCTACTGGAACATGGGGCTGATGTAAATCTCAGTGACAAACAAGGCCGGACGCCACTGATGGTGGCTTCTTGTGAAGGACATCTGAGCACAGTAGAGTTTCTGATCTCCAAAGGTAAAACAATTAACTGTTCAAAGTATCCCTGTTCATTTTTCATGCATTTCAAGCCAACTTGAAAGCTCAACATACAAACAGTCTCAATGCATGGTTTTTTTAACAGCTACACGGAAAACTAAGAATGAAAAATTGGCTTAATTATTAGAACTACATAAGAACATAAGAGACGCCAATGTTGGATCAGGCCAAAGCTGGGACTGAGAATTTATATTCAAGGGACTGTAAAAAAAATGCTTTTGTGTGTTTGTTTTTTAAAGGTGCAGACATTTCATTGCTCGATAAAGAGGGCCTGACGGCACTGAGCTGGGCCTGCCTCAAAGGACACAACAGTGTGGTTCAATGTTTGGTTGAAAAAAATGCCACAATAGACCAGACGGACAAGAATGGAAGAACACCCTTGGATCTAGCGGCTTTCTACGGAGACTCAGATATTGTAAGTCAGGTTGAATACTGAGCTCGCTGTAAGCTTTCCCTGTCTGATACCAGGCTAGAGCACTAGGGTCTCTTCCGTTCGAATGTTAATGAAGCAAATTCAAGCAGCCTTTATTCCGTGCATTTGAGGATAGTAGTGGGCGTGTTTAATCAAGAAAATATGTGCCCCCTTTTTCCTTTGAACATCTAGGAGACCTCTACAATTGGATCTGTTCACTTCACTGCATAGGAAGTATTTGTAGGGGAACCACAGAAGTCTTTTGACTCTGTCCTGTTTCCACTGAACTTACACAGCCTGATAGTAGATCGTACTGTCCAATAAAGCTTCCATAATGAAACTTGAAAAACCAAGCCAGTGTTAAAAAGGACTTAAAAATTAGTTACTGCATTTGGCATTTACTACCACCACATTAGGAAATTACACCATTCTACTGTGAACCAACAGTAGAAATACTGTTAAGAAATTGTGAGATATAAAGCTGTACTTCTATGAAAAATACCCCTTAAGGGCTTATCAATTCATCTGGGCACCAATTAAGGCTCCCATCTTGACTTTTGTGTGTCATGAAAGCAATAACAAAATTGTATAGTCTTCCGTGATCTTCCTGCTTATAACTTAAGGCTCCGTGCACCTACACTTGGCATTTCAGTCTGAATCTTCTTCCTTTTTAGGTTGGGGACCAGCACTGATGCTGGCAGCAGTGTTGTGTAAATTGTTAATAAGATGAGTTGAAATGAGTGATGTAGAAAGCTGACTTGAATAATGGCAGCTGGGAAACATGTACCCTTCTCCTTTGCTGATGACATTAAGGGGCTACATCTTTGGAAAGGGACTGGGCAAAAAAAGTGTAGAATAATGGCATAGGCACTCTAAAGAGACAGAACGGAATGGTTGTAATGAAAGTAAAGCGTCTACAGTGGGGTCAGATGCAGTCGTGAGGAAGTGGATGGAATTGCCTCTCCCTAGTCCTTTTCCACTCATCGGTGGTGAAAGAAACAGCTGACTTCCGGTTCTGATGTGATAGGACGCTATGAGGCTGTGCTCTGTCTTTGGGGCATTTTATCTTTATTTTTATGTTGTTTTATATGTTTGTTCCGTCTTTGGTTTGTCTTTTGTTCCTGGCTTAATTTAGCTTGCTTATTTAGTTGTTAGCCTACACTTCTCTCCCTCCGCTTTCATTTTATGGATCCAGCGCCAAAATCTCTTCTCCCTGCCTTGGTTGGAGCTGTGTAAACACTGAGTAGATTAAAGGGCCTTGGAGGGAATGAAAAGTAGATGAAAGGGTCTAGGAGAGAATTTTGACTGTTACCTTATTATTGTTGTTAGGTTATTATTATTATTTAGCTCATTAGTGTAGGGCTCTTGGTTTAAATTGTAACAGTTGAGGTTTTGTTTTATTTTAACATCTTTTAACTATTGTTTTAATTTATTGTTTTAAATTATTTTAATTAGAAGCTTATATGAGAGATTGTAATGTTTTTTTAATTACTACCTAGTGTAAGTCAGTTGAAGGCTGTGCTCTATGCTCGGCTCTTATGCACTTATTTTGGGTGTCTTGGGCTTGGCATGTCCTAGGGTTGCCAAGTCGTTGCAGTCACCGCAGCGGGGGACTCCCGGGCGGCGACTGGAGAGCGTGCGCGCACGTCACCCGGAAGTGACGCTAGGATGCCGGGCACGCTGGGGGCGGGGCCACGACCATCGGAGGGAAAACCATAGAGTTTTCCCTCTGATGGTGACGCGCACGTCGGGGCGGGGTTCCCTAGCATGTCCTGTTCCCGTTGTTTTTGTCAGGTTTGATTTATTGACAAGTTTGGTTGTCTTTAGTAGATGAGTAGCAGCATTCTATTCTGCTTTACTCACCTCATCCTCCCTGCCTTGCTAATTAGAGTAGAAAGTGGTGAGGAATAGTTTTCTGAGGAGAGAAGAGGAGTTTGCCTGGGCTGCTCTTTGTGTAATTGGTTTCTGCATATATATATATGTCATGTGTTTGAAATTTTTGTATGGGGCCACAGAGCTTTTAAATATATATATCCCAGATATTTAGATCTTCTGATTTTTTCCCACTAGATATTATTTCTTAATATTTTCTTATTATATTTTGATTTTTACTTTATTTTTCCTTGCTCCTTTTGGTAATTTTCTTGTGCATGCAATTTTTAATTAAACAGGTCAAAAGAGAGCATGCCCTTCTGGGGATATAGCAAACTTTTCCACTCATTCTGCAGCCACTTCTCTGCAGCTTTAAAATAAAAGGCTACAGATTCCCATTATTGAGTCAGGTCCTGTAAGAGGAAGCCCAGGATCTTTCCCACCTCTCTCCCCCCAGCAGCCCTCTGAGAGCTCCAAAAAAAGTGAATACCTGTAGTTACCGGAGCCCCATGGAGAAAATGCCGCAGGGCACGGTGGGGTTGCTGTGATGAAGAGGCACTATTGGTCCCACTCTCCTCCTGCAGTGATGTAGTATCTTACATTAGCAGAAACTCTGCCAACAGAAGAACAAGGACAGGAAATTTCACCCAGTTTCCCCCCCTCTTCACAGCAGTCTTCCATGCTCTGTTGTGTTTTGTTCACTGAACTCCTGTGACTTCAGAGGATCAGCTTTTCAGAAGTTTCAAGAGACTGCTGTGCAAAGGAGGAGATGGGAAAGAACTGCATCGGCAAGCGTGCTTGCAGTCCATGGCATCTAGCCCAGTTTTGATTAAAAGACACACGTCAGGGGAGCCATTGCCCCAAATCCTTCTGTTACAGGTCAGCAGCAGCCCACTTGCTACTGGGCATGGGCACACCTCCTGTGTAACAGCTTTTCAGAGAAGAGGAGCTTGTGAGGAGGTTAACTACTGCTGCACCACCAGTTCCCAGCTCTGTGCAATGTCCCTGGGCAGCACTGATGCTATTACCAAGAGCTCCAAGCAGTGGAGTGGAAATGCTTGGGGTCCCCCGGCAGAGGGGAAGCCAGCTGCATTAAGCTCTGTTATACTGAGTCAGACCATTGGTCTGCCAAGGTCAGTCTTCTCTACTCGGACTGGCAGCAGCTCTCCGGTGTCTCAAATCTTTCACATCACCTGCAACCTGATTCTTTTACCTGGAGATGTTAGGGATTGAAGTGCTGCCCACAAGGTGGAGGCAGAGGGTTCCTGGCTGGCATGGTTGAAATTACAAGGCAGTAGAACCATGAGGTGCAAGAAGGTCTTGGGGAGGGCCAAGCTAAGCCGGGTGGGATGACACTGACTGTGTCACCAGTAGCACCTGCCGCTGGGCTCACCTGATAGAAATATCGCCTGCTTCCCGTTTTTAAAGTACCGCAATGCAGCGATCTTTCGGGTAATTTTTCTGAAGTTTGAACTAGTTGTAACCTTGACTCAAGAGTTCCTTCAGCTCATACTAGGTACAGTGAAGCCAAATCAGTAGAAGCGAGAGAGACTGCTATAAATATAGCTGTAACATTCTGTTGCCTCTTTAAGTGAGGGTTCTCTTTAGACTTCGTTTACCACTGGCTGGAGAAAATTATGAATGCTTACCGAGAACACTGAGAGCCCCTAGCAATTTGTTGGACAAATATAGAATCTTATGGATGCACCCCTGTGTTCGCAGTGTACTGAGAACAAGATATTGTGTGGTGGACGACTGCAGATGTTTGATACTCAAGTCTCTCAGTAAGCCATAAGATGGCACTTTGAAACAAGAAAGTGAGAGCTAATCACTCATGTTCCCTTGCAGGAAGGAAGTAGTAAAAAAAATGCACTGCATGACTCTTGTTTTTATTAAAATTCTGGTTTCTAGTCCTTGGTGTTAAAGCTTTGCAATAACATGAAAAAATTTTAAGCTTGTTGGCACCTTTCCCCCTGCAAACCCATTTGTAACGACCAAGGTTCCAGAGTTTTCTGGAATTCTTTCTTCCCACCTCCTTTCCCTCTTTATATCCTTATTTTATCAGTTTTACTGCTTTTATCATATTGGATTTGATATGATACTGGACCTTTAGAATCAAATCACAGTTCATTGATGAGTTTGTATTTTTGTTTACCACCAAGGGAGCCTGGCGGTTGAGGGAGCGGCACACAAATCTCATCTGTAATTATTATACATTTATTTTGGGATATTTGTGAAATCAAAATTAACGCAATCTGTTATGAACTTCTCCTTCATAAGCTTGCTTTAAAATAAATAGGACAGTGGCTAAAGCGTATGGCGTTAATGGAGCTTATGTATGGAGTGCCTGGTGGGATAGTACTTAAGCGTTGCAACCATTTTTTAAAAACTACTTTCGTATCAGAAATAAGTGCATATTAACAGTACTTCAACACTGGGGAAATATGTAATAATCCTGAACTCTTCAGGGGTTTTCTTTGCGTTTGCAGGTGCAGTATTTAGTAGACAAAGGAGCAGTGATTGAACACGTTGACAATAGTGGGATGCGCCCCTTGGACAGAGCAATTGGATGTCGGAATACATCAGTTGTGGTTACGCTGCTTCGAAAAGGAGCCAAATTAGGTTAGTGAAGTACATCCAAAATAGCTTTGTTTAGAGAGGAAATTACAGTCTTGAAAACAACCAGATAAAATCGTGGGTTTTTTTTATCATATAAAATGCAGTTTAGTGCTAATAAATATGTCTAATATAAAACTGTTTAGATGTTCCCTAGCAAATCTGATTTTTATCTGCTTTAAACTGTAGCATGTTGACATTCCCTACGTATGTTGTAATATTGGCAGCCTTAGTGGAGATAGAACAGCACAAGGGTGAGTGCCATTTGGTCCAAGAATGAGGGTGGGGGGAATCCAGTAGATTTCATGGTGCTCATTTTAATTTGTGGTGTCTCCACTAAATTTTGGAGAATAGCAGTGATCTGTATATGTTGTTTCCCTTAAATCTGGTGGTCTAACTTAAGACCTGTGTGTCTGGGGACAGCAGTGTGCTATTACATTTCAGTAACTAGTGTTTAGGTAAAGGTAAAGGTTTCCCTTGCTCGAAAGCCAGTCGAATCCGACTCTAGGGTTGCGGTGCTCATCTCCGTTTCAAAGCCAAAGAGCCAGCGCTGTCCGAAGACGTTTCCGTGGTCATGTGGCCGGCATGACTAAACACCAAGGCGCACGGAACGCTGTTACCTTCCCACCCAAGTGGTCCCTATTTATCTACTTGCAATTTCTTGCTTTCGAACTGCTAGGTTGGCAGGAGAACTAGTGTTTAAAGCAGGGGAAATTAAGTCCAGGTAAGGAGCTGACTAGTCAACCTTATATGGAGAGAAATAAGGGATGTGACCCTGTTGATTCCCATGGACCTCTCAGCTGCTTTCAGTACCATTGGCCATGATATCCTGGATGAAGAGGCCAAGATGAGAATTGGGAGTATGGACTCGGGTGGTTCCAGCCCTATCTGGCTTAACAAATCCAGAAGTGGTTTATTTAGGGGGACAGCCGCCTAACTCCACAGCGCTTTGAGCTATGGAGTTCCTTGTTGACAATGCCGTTCAATATATATGTGAAACTGCTAGAACACCCAGCTCTGTTCTTCTGGTTATCAAAATCAGAAGATTCACTGAATGTCTGGAGGCCAGTAATAGGCTAGAGAAGAGTCAACAAACTGAAGAACAGTCCAGAAAAGATTAAAGGGCTCTTGATTGATAAAAGTAGTTAGTCAGATCTTAATGGGTCAGACAGTTCTGGATAAGACTGCACTCTGTCTGGACAAGTAGCTTGGTTTGCAGCTTGAAGTACTTCTGGGCCCGTAGTGATGGCCATGTCACTACCTGTGTTGTTCAGTATTTTTGGTTAGCGTGCTAGCTATGGCCTTTCCTTGAGAAGCAAGATCTGGCTACAGCTATGCATGTTCAGATCCCATTCAGGTTAGATTCCCATATTGAGCTGGGGCCCATATTAAGCTGGGCAGGGCATTTCCTCCATGCATTGTACCTTTCCTTCCCTGACAAATGAGGCATATACGATGTCCTGGAACTCCAGCTTTATTATGGTGCAGCCGGACCCCCAATACAAACTTTCACCATTAGTTACATCACTCTTGTGCATTCCACAGCCTCTTTTCTCTTCTCCTCTGCAACGACCACCCCCAAATCTGTCCCATCATAGCTTTAAGGTTCTGTCCCTGGAGTGGGAGCTGCCCCCTTGTTCCAGTCTCTGCCCGCCTAGTCCATTGGCCACACAGCCTGAGCAGCACCCCTCTGCTGCTGAGAGCAGCTGAGACCGCTAGCCAGCCTTTTCCCACAGCGCTTGTTCCAAGCCAGACACACCACAGCAGACAGTCGGCAGCCTCAGGCCCCTGCTTGCCTTGCCCGTCCCAGCCCTTTTCCCAGGCTATGGCCCTGACCTGTGCAAGGACCACAAGGCAACTCTGCCACACTTACCATAATGCGTTCTGTGTGGTTGTGGCCTTTGAATGCCATTTAGAACCTTCAGGTGGTACAGAATTCATCAGCACGACTATTGACTGGCATGGGTTAATTGTACTCCGCCAGTTCTTAACAGACTGAATTGGTTGCCAATTCCCTCTGGGGGCAGATTCAGAATCCTGGTGTTTAAAGCCTTAAATGATCCATGTCAAAAGTGCCTGAGTGTCCGCTGGAGAGTGACAACTACTGAGAGGGCCTCTTCCTTTCAGCAGTTTGTCTGATATCTAGTCTACTTACACACCAAGCGAAAACATTAGTTGACCAGTTCCATGTGGGTAGCTGTGTTAGTCTGTAGTAGTGGAACAAAATTTTAGTCCAGTAGCGCCTTAGAAACCAACAAGCTTGATTAGAGCAAGGAGATATGCATAGGGGTGGGAAGCACAGAAAATTAGCATCTGTAATGAGTTAAGAATCTCATGTCCCTATTCAGCCCTGGGGGATCCGGGGAAATGTTGGCCTTTATGGTGGTTCCGGAGTCGCACTTTGCTGCCCAGGAAAATCTTACGATTTCCATGGGCATTATGTTGGTTTGTGATGGCATACTTTCATTTTAATGCTTAGAGAATTTAACAATCTTGTGCTGATCTTGCTGATAATATCTATACATTTTTTTGTGCTGGACTTTTAAGATTAGGGATGGAGTGGATTTATCTTTGGATTCATCCTGTTTTAAGATTTTGCTCCAGCAATCTTCTGCCAAGCTTTGTGGGGAATAAAAAAACAACATAAGGATAGAATGTTTTTTTAATGAATATGCGCTTCCATGAACCTTTGATTCCAGTATCCCAAGAAATTATACCCAGGTGTGGCAAATTGGAAGGGGGGGGGCTCTTTAGTACTACAGAACTAGCCCTTTATCTGTCGATATAGTAAAACACTTTTTAAAATTATGCTTTAAGTCAAGGGGAAAATATGGAAACCCTTTCAAAATTAGATTGTGTGCTGAAAAACAGATGCTTTTTGACATACAAAGGGCAAATTCTGAAAGTATTCCTGTTCATTATTTTTGTTTCTCTGTTGCAGCACACGGTCTTCTGTGCTAGGCTCCCCACATCTCTGGGTCATGGAAGTGCATCCCCCTGGGGTCACCTTGTTGGAAAAAAAAAATCCCAAATGTTCCTAGTCTCCACAGACACTCATGGGTAGGGAAGCACAAAAGTACAAACCCTTATCAGACTGGTCATCAGAATTTGCACAATCTGAGAAGCAATATAAGGAGGGAGAAAAAACATCGGGTCATGAGATGTATCCTAATAGGATTTTGTGATCAACCCTAGCATTTCTTATCTTGCTGGTTTTTACCTGCAGCTTAAGGTTTTATTTGTAAGGCATTTTATGATATTGGTTTTTTCATTTTTTTTTTTTTAATTCTGATCTAATCTTTAAGCTGGTCTGAGCATTATTGATACATACAGCTAAGAAGTCCTTTAAAAAGCAATATGTATATCTTGAAGATTTTAGCATGAAGGTTTCAGCATGATGCATGTTTAATTATACATGAATTAAATTTCAGGAAATGCAGCCTGGGCTATGGCCACTTCGAAACCTGATATTCTGATAATCCTCCTGCAAAAGCTTGTTGAAGAAGGAAACATAATGTACAAAGTACGTTTATCTTTGCTTTTATTTATAGCACTAATATCCAAATGCTTGTATGTATGAACTTGTTACACAATGGTACATGCCGGTAGTTCAGGTTGCTGAACAATTATTGGAAATTGGATGTCTCGTGGGACCAGTGTACAAAAGAGGACATTGTTGTAAAACTCAGAGAAAAGACCCAGTGGTATCTGGGTAAATTTAATGAAAATCCAGATCTTTGCAAAAACTATAGGTTTAGAGTGCAACTAGATGTTACAGTGTCAATGGGCCCAACCTGTTTCAACAGTTGAAAATGTGGGTGGGGGGGGGTCAAGAGTATGTGTTACTACTACACTGCAGACCTGATCAGGTTCGGACCCTTGTGGCATTTTTAAATGGCCCAAATTCAGCTGTAAAATGGCAGCAATGGTGTCCACAGGTTTAATCTTTGGCTGCAGTAATGTCTAGAGAGCCAGTTTGGTGTACCAGTTAAGTGCACGCGGACTCTAATCTGGGAGAACTGAGTTTGATTCCCCACTCCTCCACATGCACCTGCTGATGTGACCTTGGGTCAGTCACAAGCTCTGGCACAGCTGTCCTTGAAAAAGAGCAGTTTGTGTCAGAGTTCTCTCAGCCCCACCCACCTCACAGGGTGTCTGTTTTGGGGAGGGGAAGGAGTTTGTAAGCTGCTCTGAGACTCCAAGTGAAGGGCGGGGTATAAATCCAATCTCTTCTACTTCTTCTTCTTCTTCTAGTTCTGCCTTTAGGTGATGCTTTGTTTATGCCTGCCTGGTTGTCCCATGTGATTCAGTGCCGCTGACTCTATTAAACCAACTACAAAATTATTCTTCGAAGTCTTGGTGAAGACACCTGTTCAATCCAGCAAAAAAACAAACAAACCCCAAACCCAACCCTCTCTAGAATGACATGATCCAGCATATATTTTCCTTGGTCAATATCTGGGTCATGTATTACTCCTTGGTACTATAAAACCCAGCATTCTAGCTTTCTGATTTTCTCTCCAGCAGAGCCCATTAACATGTCGGATATTTTTAAGATGAAAGCAGCATTTTAGAACAAGATTGTCAAACTTCTGTGCTCTTCACCTTGCAGAAAGGGAAGATGAAAGAGGCGGCACAGCGGTACCAGTATGCCTTAAGGAAGTTTCCTCGGGAGAGTTTTGGAGAAGAAATTAAAGCATTCAATGAGCTCAGAGTTTCTCTATACCTAAACTTGTCACGATGCCGAAGAAAAACAAATGTAAGCTCTTGTAGTGCAAGTTTTACTATATTGTGACAAATAATAAGGTTCTAGAGGGAAAACATGCATGTAGATAAATGGATCTGAGTTGCTAGAGACTGCCTACTAATTTAGAAAATGTATATGCCACCTCTGTAAAGACCTTTTCGAAGGCAACTTGCAAACCTATCCAGCAATTGCTGCCTGTCCTGACGTAGAATGTAATAACTGATGTATGGTAGTACCACAAAGTGCTTCAGTAGTTTCAAGGCGGCACTTTCTGTTATCCGTGTACTGCAAAAGGATTAATGGCTTGGCTTTGCAGTATGGGTTAAAACAGTAATCAGCATAAATTTGATCAAGAAGCTGTGTGGAAATTAAGAGTTTGTGACTGCTTTATTGTTTTGCTAGGATTTTGGCATGGCAGATGAGTTTGCTACTAAGGCACTTGAACTCAAACCCACATCCTACGAAGCCTACTATGCCAGAGCAAGAGCCAAGAGGAACAGCAGGTACTTAAAGACATACATACAACAGCCCTTTCTTGTTAGCGTTGTGGCGACAGTAAGCAGGATATTAGTGTAACTTTATTAAAAGGCTACTAGAAAGAGCAAATAATATAAACAAGTACGGTCTTTATTATTTCTCATCTGCCCTCCCCCCTCCACAGGGTTTGATAGAAGATGGAGTGTCTTAACATGTTCTCATCTGTTTCTGCCAACCCCACAGTACATACGTTTATATTTATGCAGATAGAGACAACAGTCTTGGTCAATAACATGGGAAGAGTTTGGAACTGAGGAATGAATAGGGCTGTCAGCTCTGGGTTGGGAAATACCTGGAGATTTTGGAGGTGAAGCCTGGGAGAAGGTGGGGGTTTGGGAAGGGAGGGACCTCAGCAGAGTATAATGCCATAAAATCTAACCTCCAAAAAAAGCCATTTTCTCCATGGGAGCTGATCTGGGTCGTCTGGAGATCCCTTGTAGTAGCAGGAGAATTCCAGGTGCAACCTGGAGGTTGGCAACCCTAGGAATGGATCTTGTTGAAGATATTCTATCATTTTTCAGATAGGGAACTACATTAAAAGCAGGGGGACTACAAGGACTCGTGGGGTAGAAGACATCCCGGCCCCACACTTACCATTGCCATTTGTCTCTCAATTTTCCAATGACCACTCAGGCATCCTTTCTGCCCCCCCCATAAGTTTTCTTCCTCTCTCCCCTTCCTCAGTTGCTGCTTCTCTCTGCCCCATCTCCATCACTCCAAGTCTCTTGTCACTGCTGATGCTACCTCCTTGTGGCCAGCTGATGGTGGGGGGGGAGGGGCAGTGAGAATGAGAGAGCATGTCCAGCCCAGACTCTTTTGTTACCTGGCCCAGTGACTGCAGGCCTCCCTTGCTGTCTCCAGTCAGGTGATGGGAAGTCTGGGTTTTAGGTACTTCCCCATCAGCTGGCCACAGGGAGACAGAATGTGCTTTGTACTCTAAGCCTCTCGCGTCTACCCACCATTTCCATTGATCTTGCCACACTTGCAGTATCTCTTTCACTTCTCTGGCTTGGAGGATTTAACATTTCCCTTTTTAAATAGTTTTTAATGCAAACCTGGGGGTTAGCATAGGTCTGTAGAAAAATCCACCCTGTCTGAACACTGCCCCATTGTTCAGGTTCCTTTAATTCTTACTATGAGGCCACGGTTCAGAATTAGATACAGAGCTGGAAATGGGTATTTCCAGTGTGTGTTTTGCCTCCCCCCCCCCAGCTTTAAATATAACTTCTATAACAAATATGTGTGTGCTTATTTCTTTTCATTATAGCAGCATCTCCTTCAAGCTGTCTCTCCTTCCCTTACAGCCGATACATTATGCTAAAAAGAGGGGAATGGGGAATCCTTTGCACAGAGTCATGACGTAGCCAGCTGTTTTAGAACTGTATCTCACAGCATTATGCTAAAAAGAGGGGAATGGGGAATCCCCATGAAGTAGCCAGCTGTTTTAGAACTGTACCTCACAGAGTCTTTGCCTGTAGTGAGATAATATGATATGAAGTCAGCCAAGTAGGTGTGTTCTGCTGAAAATGCAGATGTTGCAAGAGACTTGCTACATGCCATGACCCCAAGGACTGTACCATATAATCCTAGGTGCATGTCCTTCTCCAGAACGTGACTAAGACACAACCAATGGGTAAAACCTTTTGTTACCTCAGTAGCCAGCCAGACGTATATTGCTTCCTGTGAGGACCTTTGGTCTCTTTTGGCATACTGTAGAAAGGACATGAGACTTAAGCATCCAAATCTTAAGATTCATATAAGAGGTTTTGAGATGTAGTGCATAACAAGGAGCGTAGAGACAGGTGTCTTGGTATGCAGTAGTTAAAATGTAAATGTGCCCAGTTTACTGAATATGCTTCTTCCTTCTCCAGGCAATTCCATGCAGCCCTCAGTGACCTGCGTGAAGCCATAAAGTTGTGCCCTGGTAACCAAGAAATAAAGAGACTGCTCGCTCGAGTTGAAGAGGAGTGCAAACAACTCCAGAGGACACAGCAACAAAAACAGCAGTGTCCTCTGCCAACCCAGCAGAGTAACGACTCTGACAATGAGGGGGAAGCTCTTGTGCAGGACCCCTTCAGCTTGGAAGAGATAGAAGAGGAGGAATTTTTGCATGAGGAGGCTCCTGGCCCATCTACACAGAGGCTGCCACTTTCCCAAGCTGCTTCCTCTTGCAACAGAAACCCCCCAGAAGGGAGTCCCCAGAAATTTAGGCCTATTTCCCCCCCAAATAGAGCAGGCAGTAAATATCTGCGAGAGCCTGGCTTGACAATGCAGCCCACCAAACAAGCCCAGATAGTGAAAACTAATCAGCATCTGAATTCCATCCAGTCTGGGGCAAGAGCTGGAAGGGGTCAGCCTGCCACAAGGACTCAGCCCCTTCAGTATCTTCCTCCAAGCCCTGTGCCCTCCAGGCACCTCACAAATCTAAGCAACAATAAAAGCCAGCATCTGGATGGCACAACCACACTTTCTGCAAGCATGACTGCAGGAAGTAGCTCTGCAGTATTCAGTGAAAGACTAACAGCCGGACAGTTTCCGTACTTGCAGCATAGTGACAAAGGATCTTCTCACATTTTCTTAACCAAATCCAAAACTCACGAGAGACTAGCCGTCCATGCTCCTCCAAACATGGAGAAAACAGGTCAGTTTCCATCTCCAGGAATTAGTGAGGTAAGGCAGCAAAGCTCTGTGAGCTCTAGTCCCGTTTCTGCCAACATGGTAGTTTCCAGCTCAACAAGCAGCTTATCTTCAAGCAGCAGCTTTTCTGAGAGTCTGAAAGGGCAAGGTCCTGATGTCCGAATGAAGGAGAGCAAAGCTAACCAAGGTCAGAGTGGAACAGCAGAACACAGGCCTCGAAATACTCCCTTCATGGGAATCATGGATAAGACTGCACGGTTCCAACAGCAGATGAACCCATCAAATCGCAGTTGGCATGGCCAGACTGCAGAGGGATTCCTGAAAGGTGTTGTGACAACTGGAGGAACTCCATCTTCAAGTTGCGAGCAGTTCCCTGCCAAGCAGTTAGGCAGCTATGGAAATCAAACATTCTCCTCTTCTTCCATTTTGACATCAGGGGAGAGTATCCAGAATGGGATGCAGTCTAAAGAACTTGAGGAACTCAAGTGCCAAGCATCTGCCTCCTCACAAGACAGCAGGATAGCTAAGCCCGTGGCTCATTTGTACCAGGAAGTTCTCGCTAAACAGCACTCTCAGCTTAATAAAGACATTCATCCAAGTCATGTCACTTCTACAAAGCCAAAGCGATCTTTTGTAGAATCTAATGTGTGAATAGTTCTACCTGTTTTATCACAAACCATGTCTCTCTTTGGTTGTAAAACTTAGCACATAGTGGCATATAACTAAAATTAATAGCTGGTATTTTACAGGGTGTATGACGAACTTTGATCATCCAGCCACCTCTTGAACATTAAAACAGGCTGTCCAGTCAGCAAAATATGGGCTACCACCACTTAGTTTATTAACGCAGTGGAGGTGGAATTCCATCACTGATGTCAAATTTAAGAGAGGATTTAAACCTGCTTGCCTGATTAACTATATTAGTAAAAGTACCAAGCTAAGTCCTTTGTTTCGTACAGCCATGTATATATCCTGTTAAAAAATGTTTTAACTCCTGCAAGGTGGTGGGATCCGTAGCACACCCAGATCTGTCCATGACTGTTTTCCTGTCAGGAAGATTAAGCATTACTCTTCCAGCTTAATTAAAATACAAGTGTAATTTCAGGAAACTTTCTGTCACTTCTGTGGAAGTCATTCAGCAGCCATATTTTATTTGATTGTGTGAATAATTTTGACTTTAGTTACTGTAAGGCAGCAAAGAAATTACAAATGGGGGGGGTTGCATGCATTGTGTTCAACATCCTGGTTATTGCACTGAGTAATATATGACATGTTAACAACATATAACAGCACTTTACATAGTTTATCTAAACACCCTTTGAGGTGCTATGTAAGTAACAAGATGGAGAATAAGGAAGAGGACTGCAAGTTTTTGCTATGTTTTTATAGATCTCTGAATGAACATTGGTGGGAGGAATATGTGGACTTACTTTTATAGGAAGGGGCACCTGATACTGTCCCCTCAGTGCTTCAGTGGGAAACTTCTTAGTTGCGAGGCTGTTTCCAAGATGACTAGTTTGTAAGGACATTCCTGTAAGTAACAAAGGGCAACAGAATACTCCACCTTGTACAAGCTCAACCTTTAACAAATTACTCCCTTGTGTACAGTATGTATGTACATTGTAATGGCATTCTCCGCACGATTTTTAAAAATTCCATAAAGAATTTGCAATTTCTAAATGAATTGTTACTCTTTAGCTTATTTATTGTTTCTCTTGGTATTTGTACAATCTTATTTTATTCTCTCGTTCTGTAGATCTATTTTTTTGCACAGCTACTGTATTTTTCCCATATGAAATAAAAGACTATTAATATAGCTTATGATCCAGTAGTATACAGTTTGTTGCTACAAAAGAGTTTCATCAGTGATGCACCTTTAGAGTTGGTCAGGAATTTAATGGCCGCGCACCAGGCTCAATGGGTTACTTTTCCAACCAAGAATAACCTTTTGAGACTGACTGGCTGTTTTGTTTGATCTTGGGGTGACAGGCTCAGTGCTGATCCTCCAGTGGCCATGACAACCACTGCACACCAGACTACTTGTGAATTGGGGCATACCCTACTCATGATGTGTTTGTGCAGTATACTATGAGCATAGCAGTTGTAGGAAGCACCACTGATGTGCCCACTTAATTAGCTTCTCAGCATAGTTTGAGAGGTTTGCCAGTTAGTACTTAAGTATGCTCCACTGAAGATATGTAATAGCTAATTAAAGAAGCATGATGTCAGTGCTGGCTTCTAGCCAGAGTGCTCGTGCCAGGACTGACTGGTGTCCCAGGCCACAGATCACCACCCTCTTCAAAATCTAAAATACCAGTGATGAAAATTCTTCAAACTCCTGCTATGCTTCCTCCCACAAAGGGCTTCATGTGCTTTCCTGCAAAAGATGTCAACAGTTTTACTTCTCATGTGAACGTTCTAAAGAAAATATTAAAATGTTTATTAATATTTTATAAGGTTTATAACAGACCTAGGAATTATTTACAATCACTGAGCTATAGTAATTGCACTTAGTGAACATACTAGCAGTAAGTAAAGCAGTAGATTACATACATGTGTGCATCATAAACAGCGAGAGTGGTCTATCAGTGCCAGTAAGCACTGCACAGCCAAACATTGCACCAGTCAAGGATATAACAAATCAGTCCTATCTAGACAAGTTCTTGATATTTAAAGATGCAGCAGAGTCCGGTGAGAGGGATCATGTGGTTGAATATTTGTAGTTACATATTCAAGAAATGGAAACCATTCTTCTGTGAACTGAGTCATTTTCGGATAAATCTCAGATTGGAGAAGATGGTCAGACCTTGTTGTACCAGAGAGATCTTGTTCCATTTTAGGGCAATCACTGTTTTTGCTGCCACCAGAAAACTATTAATTAGTATTCTAGGAATTGTTACGTCCTGCCAATAGTTCAGAAATAGTATTTCTGGTACTAATGGAACCTCATATCCCGTTAGAACATTTTTTATGATCACTCACTTTATACAGTATATAATTCAGTCTACAGAATTTTTCTTCCCCCCTCCCCAGTGTTCACATTTATGTGTAAAGGAATTTATAATATTCATTTAGAGAGATGACAGATACCTGAACCAAGAAGCTTACACTCTGAATTATCCACCTCCAGTTTGATTTCCTCTAATCCGAAAAATTACTCAAGTTATTTAAGACCGTGGGTTTTGATTGTGCACTGGCTGTGTTTCTAACCAGCGATTGATAGCCATTTTCAAAGTTCTATTTGGGGTAAGTACAAGTCTCTGAAGTGGGAGATTTGTCATAGGACTCGAGTGCCTTTTGTTAACAATCCAGTTTTCCATTGCTTCCTTCTCATAGGAGTAGCCATCTAGAGAAATTATAAACATCTGAATCATTAACAGGAATGTATAACCAAATCCTAAAGTAACACTGTATTTTAGGAAGGGGTTTTAATAAGTATTTCAGTACAATCAGATGCAAGTTTGTTAAAGGACTCTCTCAATACCCAGCAAGATGGGGGGGGGGGAGTACACAATAGAACCAGGGTGAATCTAATAGCAGCACCCCCAATGAGGAAGGGCACATATTTTGTCCAAAGTAGGGTTTGATGCATGGATTGGTCGGTAGCAAAAAGCAGGGTCTATCCAAATAGGTTGCGATGCATCCTACCTAGACTATTTCTGCATCCCACCAGTTGAGAACCACTACTCTAAAGGAATCTGCACCCAGTCTTGACTGCTTCACTAGTATGCCTGCATGATGCATGTCTGCAAACATTTCTGCATCCATACTCTACATGAAGTGCCCTTTTTCCTTCTATGTCTGTTAAGGACAAAGGCTTCTTTTTCCTCTTCTTCCAGTGTCTCTACTACTGCTGTAATTTTGATAATGAACTTCTTGGAACAGGAACATGTCCCTCTTTGTTATTAAACTCTATAAAGCCTTAACTAAAATTTCAGGTAGCTGTGTTGAGCCACTGGATTCCCCCCCTCCCCCCAAAGCATCAGCAGGAGAGATAACATTATGTACAGATTTTGTCCATATCTTGCAATTTTACATCACTGGAGATCATTTTTTTTTCTCATGGAAAATCAGTAATCTGATTTTCTTGGAATTAAACTATCAGAATAAATAAGTGCTATGGTGGAAGACAGGACATTAGCTTCTCCTAAAAATTAATCCCTCTTCTCCAAGAATTTGCTAAATGCAGAAGGCTGCCATTTCTCAGCTCATCTATTCTATTACTGATTTGAATACTGGCTTTAAAATTGCTTTCCAAAGTTCATCACGGAGCTGTCAAAGGAATCATCAGAGCTGCTAGGCAAGGTCCCCTGTGCCCACGGCCTTTCATGTATAAAACAGCAGCACCAAAACAGTGACGTGACTAGGCAGTAAATTACAATTGATAATCTGCATTTTAATAGCCCTCATTCAGTACTGCTAAATAAAAAGTCAACTCTGTAATGCCACTTTCTTGTAAAAAAACCATTGCTTACTAACGTTGGAGTTAGTAAGCTTCAGAAGCATAAACACTTTTATTTTGAGATTCAATTACCACTTAATAAATGCAGTTTGCTTGTCTTTATCACCTTTAAACACACACACACACACACACACACACGTAAGAGGAAGAAATGAATCCCAATGTTTGTTATTTAGCATTTTTGAGACATGAGACGGATATCAAAGGAGGAAGATATAAAAGGCATAGAAATAATAATCATAGGTTTACTGAAATGTCTAGTGCATCTCATAATATGTATTTCTTGTCGGGCAAGAAATGAAAAGAAATAAGGTAGAAATTATGAGTACATGGCAAGGCAAGACAGAGCAAGTTTATGCTTTCAAGTACTAGTAATTTACTCCCACATTCAATACAGCACTTCACTTGTGTGCTGCCCCCACTATTGTTGAGGGGTGGTGGTAAAAGAGATGTGCTGTTCCTTTTTATTCTCTGCAACCAGCAGAAAAAGGGGGTCAGCAATCTCACAATCTTTTGCAAAGAGCGTGAGGAAGCTGTGGTAAAAGGTCACACTGCCTAACACGCTACCAGGAGGACAAATATAGTCACATTACTTAAACCATCCAAAAGTCTCTTAGGCTTTCTAGTAGGTACATTAGGCCTAAGGGACAGATTCAACAGTAAAACATCATTGCAAGTGCACGCCAAGATTGTGAACACTGGATTTCAGACTTTATATGGCCTTCACATAACTACAATTATTTAAACAAAAGCAGTAACAATTTAGTTCTTCAGTGACTTGCACTGGCACTTTAAATAGATAGACAGACAGAATAAAATTTGGAATCTATCCATCTATCAATCATCACTGCCAGTTTGGTGTAGTGGTTAAGTGCACAGACTCTAATCTGGGAGAACTGGGTTTGATTCCCCAGTCCTCCACTTGCACCTGGCTGGATGACCTTGGGCAAGCCATAGTTCTGGCACAGCTGTTCTTGAAAAAGAGCAGTCTCTGTCAGAGCTCTCTCAGCCCCACCTACCTCACAGGGTGTCTGCTGTGGGGAGGGGAAGGGAAAGGAGTTTGTAAGCCGCTCTGAGACTCCTTTGGGTAGTGAAGGGCGGGGTATAAATCTAATCTCATCCTCTACTACTTTAAGCAAGCCTCTGAATGCGGTCAAGTGGTTACGGGAAAATAAACTGAAGCTGAATCCAGATGAGACAGTGGTGAGGGTCTTTGGAAGGGCCACTGCTGTAAAGAGAATTGTTCTCCCTCCCATGAGGTACAATTTTTGCTGAAATATTCTGGTAAGAGCTCAGGAGTCTTGCTGGAGCCTGGACTCCTACTGTAGAAACAGGTGGAAAACTCTTTTTTCCCAGCTGCACCTAGTTTGGAAGATGGCTCCCTATTTGCAGATGCCTTTTCTAGCCATGGTGATCCCCGTTACAGTAATCCTGTAGCTGGATTAGTGTAAAATGCTGTACTTGAGGCAGTCCTTGAGGGCAACCCAGAGGATTCAGCTGCAGTCGTGTGTGTGTGTGGGGTGTGTGTGTGTGGGGGGGTTATCACAGTCCAGCAGTCAGAACCATATTACTTGTACCGTCAGGTCCCATCACTGGCTGCCAATTAGTTGCCAGATCCAATTCAAGGTGCTGATGTTTATCTTTAAAGCCATTCATGACCTGGGGGCCATATATTTGAAAGACAGCCTTCCCCTGCATGTTACTGTGCAATAGCCAGGGTGGTAAAATGGTGAGAGTACTAGATTAGGATCTGAGAGACGTGGGTTTAAATCCTAACTCTGCCATGTAAACTTGCTGGGTAACTTTGAGTCAGTCACACATCCTTGGCCTGAACTACCTCACAGTTGTTGTGAGGATAAATGGAAAGGGGAGAATGTTATAACATACTTTGTGCCCCCACAGCAGAGAAAAATGGGATGCAGATGAGATAAACAAATAAAGAACTTCGCTCTGTCTAGCAGGGTTTCTTGTCTGTGCCCCCTCTGTGTAAAGTTACAACACAACAACCAAAGCACAGATTTTTTGTGCCCCCTCTGTGTAAAGTTACAACACGACCAATTGGGTTGCTGACCAATATTTGTGGAACACCCAGAAGGGGTGAGAGAGCCTCCCCCAGCTTTTGGACAGGGCTATAAAACAAAGTTATTACATTGAGCTTTATGGACAGTTTGACTTTTAACAGGGGGACAAAAAGAACATTTTTTTTCGCTGCTGATACAATAAGTGGAACTGTTTGCCAGGATCCAAGCATTTATCTTTGCACTTAAAGACAGAGATAATTCTGCTTCACACCTACCTGCAGCAATGACTGGTTCTTTCATAAGTTCCTTTGTTATAGGACACAGGAATTCATCAGGCACAGCCTCACAGGCAGATTTCCTTTCCATCTGCAGTTCTTCAATATTCCTTAACACTTTATTGCGAAGGCCTAAAGATTCTGGAAAGGAATTCAGACATTAAACACATTAGACTTTGTAGTTTACAGCTCAAACTTGAAAAGTGACTCTGAATAAATATTTCATTCAGGCCACCACCAAAACTTTCCTCTCCTTCCTCTAAACACAACTGTCCAGTACTTTTGCTTAAAGCCTGACATTGCACGAATAACCAGTCTGATACACTATCTTCAACAATAGTTTTAAGTGAAAAATCAAACAGGGTGGACTGAGTTGGAGAACATCTACTTGCATGCAGAAGGTCCCAGATTGAATCCCTCTCACTTCTGGTTAAAAAGATTAGGTAGTAGCCTATGCAAAAGACATCTGTCTAAGACCTTGGATAGCCATTGCCAGTCACAGTAGAAAACCTAAACCACTAACCCTCAATAACCCAGTGGTCTGATTCGTTCAAGACAGCTTCATGTGCTCAAACAATCTATTATCCAAAAAAAAAAAACCCAACCATTATCCCCAAAAAACAAAACCCCACCCTAAACTGAACTCCTTTATGGACCATACTAAAAAGCATGAACATGCTCACAAACTGTTACATGTTCTGCAAGAATATGAGTCATTAATTGGAGAAAGACTTCCTATAACCCTAACCCTTCCCACATATGCAGAAATGGGCTCACAAAAAGTTTAAAATTGTGTTCAAAGTCTGCAGAGCACCCACTACACTGATCAAGTCTTAGAAACAATTTTCATAATTTGTGGGAAGGGAGGTGGGACCGAGCAGATTCTGGCTGGGTGTGTGATGCAGGATACAATACATCCTTCCTTAATCCTATTGTTAACTGCTACCAGTAGGAAATGGCTGTACTTTGTTTCAATGGGCCCTGCTGTCCTAATTTAACCATTGTTTATGTTGTTACACGGCAATTAGCTTGGAAAAGAAGCTGGTTCTATTTGCATGGTAATGAAGTATTCTTCCACAGAGGTGTCAAAAACAATCAAACAGGCTAATGAAATGCTATGTGAACCACCTGCTGGTCACCTTCTCCTCAATTAAATGCCTCTGGGAGCAAAGAAAACTAACATAGCAGGACAAGAACCAAGCAATTAACATAAAACAGTGCAATAGGGTCCACAGTCCACACACTCATGGCTCATGAATTTCAAGGACATTCACTTACCTTCACAAAAGACTATTTGTATCGTGTAAAAACTATATTCTTCAAAAGACAATAAAGTTAGGCATACTGAGGCCATCAAGAATCAGACAATGAAAGACTACGAGTGCACACTGACAAAGAAAGAGAGCTTGCTAGGGTATGACATCTAGACCGTTATATGCCGAAATTAGTACAGAAAGCTAGAAATAGATTTTCTAATTTTGTTGTTCAGTCGCACAGTCGAGTCCGACTCTTCACGACCCCATGGACCAGATCACGCCAGGCCTTCCTGTCTTCCGCCGTCCTCTGAATTAGATTTTCTAATGCATAAAGTTAATACCTTTCGGGCTTTCTAACTCAAAACTTTCTGCATGCAAAGCAGAAGCTTTACCTCCCTGCCCTCAAGTTTAACAGATTTTACCAAGGAGTTGTAGATCAGAGGAATATCATGAAAAATACCAAATAAGCACATAAGAACTCTGCTGGATCACACCAGTGGTCCATTTAGTCCAGCATCTTGTCTCACACAGTGGCTAACCACTTATCCTGGAGGTTCAACAACAAGGCATAGAGGCTGAGGCCTCCTTCCCCTGATGTTGCTTCCTGGCATTGTTAGTCAGGGGTTTACTTTCTCTGAACATGGAGGTTCCTTCTAGTCAACATGGCTAATAGCCCCTGATAGACCTATTCTCCATGAACCTGTCTAATTCTCTTTTAAAGCTGTGGCCATCACAACATCCTCTGGCAGTGAATTCCATGTTTTAATCACTCACTGTGTAAAGAGGTATTTCCTTTTGTCCATCCTGAATCTACTGCCCATCAGCTTCACTGGATACCCTCAAGTTCTAGTATTTTGGAAAAGGGAGAGAAATTTTGTCAACTCTCCCCACCCCAATGATAATTTTATAAGCTTCTATCATGTCGCCCCCTTAGAAGTTGTCTCTTTTCTAAACTGAAGAGTCCCAGACTCTTCAGCCTTTCCTCATAGGGAAGGTGTTTCAACCCCCTAATAATTTCGGCTGCCATCTTGTGTATTTTTTCTAGCTCTGCAATGTGCTTTTTGAGAAATGGTGACCGGGACTGTGCACAGTATTCCATATGAGCAGGGAGAGTCCTCTGACTGAAACAGAATCTCAGTTCAGCAGTTTAGTTTAAAGGGGGGAGGGTAGCTCAGCACCTTGTACAGAGTGAAACCTCTGGCTTGCCTGAGTAGAGAACAGGATGGAGAGAGGCTCCTGACACAAGGAAGGTTCAGACAAGAATTGATCATGTTTGGAAAGACCCTGACAGATCCAATTTAGTTGGGAAGAAAAAAGAAGAGCTTTCAAAGGGAACTAAATCCCACTGAATACAGTTTAACTTTCAGTCCTGCCTTTTGAGGATAACCAGAGCAACACGTTTTCTGCTCTATTTGATCAGGACAATGCTTTACCCTGATGCAGTGGTTTTACACAACTATTGCTCTCCAGATACCACAGTTTGCAACTCTATTTGTTTATATAAATAGAACAATGTTTGGGGTGCTATTTCCAGACCTAAATTAGGCATCCAATGGGGTGTAAAATCATCATTGTGGCAAATAAATACATGTATTTGGGAGTCATAACTGTATCTCCCTGGAATGCACTCTGCATTGTAAATATCATCCGAAAGGGGGAGAAACCCAGCCTGCCTATTAACTATTCTGTTAACTTTTTCAGAACTGTGGGAGACGGCGTTTTATGCGAATGAAAATATTTTATATTTGTTTACCTAATGTAACATACACCTTGCCTCATTATGTCAAGCTATGCCAAATGTACTTTTATTTTCTTATTTGTGGCTTATAATTAGTTCTCAGAGGTATCATTAAAAAATCCCAGTACTCAGGCAACTAGCTATTATGCTGATTTTTCCCCCCACAGAGCATTTGTGTGTTCACCAGAGGTCACCTTGGCTGGGGACTCTGACTTTAGCTCCACTGCTTTCGATTTTTGTAGAAGCTTTCCATCAGCATTATCTCTTTGGTCTCGACTGACAGGTTTGGGAAATTTGGCCTATATGAATATTTAGGGAAATGCAAACTTCTCTTTTTATTTTTTTTAAAAAACTGATTAAACTGCAACTGTTATGGGTTTCAGGCTACAAAAGTTCTTTATGTGTTCCAGCTTTTGGGTGACAGACTGAAGGTAAAAACAAGATTTATTTATCATATGGCAGAGTTACACACAGGAAGCATATAACAACATAAAATACATAACCAAGTTGAAACAATGGGTATGCAGATGGATTGGGCAGTCCCCCGAAATACTAATATCTAAATTTTTTATCCACTCAATCCCAGCTGGGGAGAGTTCAAAGAGCTCTGTCACATCACCCTGGAAAGCATGACACTCACATTCCTGTGACAGATGGAAAATAGTTTGGCAGGCTGCATGACAATCGCATTTGGGTCCTGGTATTTTGCCCCATTTAAACAAGAGGTCTGCACAACTGCCAAAGCTGTTTGTATTCTATTAGCCATCTTCCATACTTTATGTGGCAAGTCAAATCCTGTGGGCCTCTTATTGGTGTTTATCAGGTCATGGATATCAGGTGGAACTGACTGCATCCATGTTTGCAACCATTCATTCCTAAAATCAGAATTTTGTGATGGTGGGATTTGTGCAGATCATATTGCTGGGTGTCAGGATCTTAGTCTAGGCCTGCGTCAGCCACGTCATTGTAGATGGGCAACTCTCTGTTTTCAATTATATTTCTATATTCCCGAAGAGCAGCTTGTCTTTGGAGATGTGGGGAAGCAATGTGGCACAACTTGGGTAGCCAATTAGTCAGAGTATATTCTGATGGTTCTCATTGCTGTGTTCAGTTGGACATCAAATTTGTGGACATAGGGGCTGTTCAGCCACACTGAAGCACCATATTCTGCAGTACTATACTCCAACCCCAAAGCTGAGCATCTAACTGCTGTAGCAGACCAAGTTGTACCATATAATTTTTAAAGAATGATTCACATGTGTTATTTTCGCTGCTACATTGGTAAGATGGTGTTTATAGCTCAAGGTCCTGTCCAGGGTAATGCCAAGGTACTTAGGTGTATGGTTGTGTGTAAGTTGGGTGCCATTAAGTTAGACATTCAGTTCGCAGTTGGCAAGACTGTTACTGAGATGGAAACATTAGCATTCTGTTTTTCCTGGACTTGGGATAATCCACCATTTATGTAGTAGTCATCCAGAATTTCAAGGTCCCTAGTCAGTATTTCTTCATTCTCATGTCAGTGAGAAACTCTGCGACCCACTTCTGAGTGGACGTGCTGCTATTGATCAGGAACTCATTATGAATGCTGTCAAAGCCTACTGCCTTTTTGCTCTTGATGTTCTTCAGTGCCTTGAAAGTCTCATCAGCACTGAAATCCCCTGACAGCTTGCAGTCTTCAGGGTAGGTGCGTTTCAAAATCTGAAGTTCTTTTTTTTATCCTGATAATGAAATCTCGATCCTTCGGAGCTCTAGTTAGGGATACCAGTTGGGCAGCTACCTCGTTTGATGTTCCCTCCAGAATTCCTTGGCACACAGGTGGGCTTGCACCTAGTTTTTTCAACAGACTCCATACTTTCCTATTGGAATGCCTGAAATCCAAATTTGCAATTGCTTTAATCCATTTTTGTCTACATGCAGCATCAAGTTCATGGAGTAGTTCATCTGCTACTTCTGGGTCTTTGCTGTCAAGGAAATTTTGATACAGTCTCTCATTCTGATAACTTCAGCCTGGAATATATTCTTTCTGATATCCTTGAGGAATGTGCCTTTTGGCCATCGATATAACAGCTCCAACAAATTGGCAGGCCCATCCAAGACAGCTATCCATACCATCACTGAAACCTTTCCAATTCGCCCTCTTAAAGTTCCATCATAGTCTAGGAAAAGACCTGATAACTGGTATTTGGGTTTCTAGCTCGAGGATTACAGGTCGATGCTGACTGTGTGGGAAACCTCAAGAACACATTTGAATCTAGGGAAGGGCTGACTTCTCCAGTCAGAGGAAACAAATGTTAAATCAGGGTTGGACTCTCTATTCCATGCCGCTGATTTAAAGGTGCCTCTGTCTTTACTGTTGAAAACAAGATGCAAGCCATGTTCTTCAACCCAGTTGACAAGTGCCTCACCATTCTTATCATTAGCCATGCATCACCAATTTCCATGGTGGCTGTCACCGGTGTATACAGGATGAAGGTGGGTTGATAGAACATGTGCTGACCATGAAACTGCAGGAGGTTTGTAAACACTGACAACATGTACTTCCCCAAATTTTACTACGATTGTGTGGATGTCATTATGGATATTGGTCAATACCAGCTTCACATTTTCAATGTTGCTTTCGGCATAAGTCACTATGCCATAGCTATGATGGTATGTGATATCAATAACATCATATCTTGCAATTTTCACTCTGTGGTGGGCTTGATTTTCATTATCAAGATGAGTTTCTTGAACAAGAGCTAAATCTATTTTATTGGCCAGTAAGATTTGCGACGAGTATTGGCATTTAGATTTGCTTATATGCTCAATATTCATTTGGCAGATTCAGATGCAGTCTCCTATACCGCTTGTCAATTAGTCCTGAGAAGGACTGTTTGATTGGTTGATTGTTTCCCTGTGTTTAGTGTAGCCAGGAGATCCCACAATTATCTGGCAGCCAGAAGATCTAGCTCTTTAGGGTGCACCACGAGCAGGTAAGCTAGAATTAAAAACAAGAAGCAAGTCCTAAAGTCTAGTCATAATGTATCATGATTTTATAGTTCCCAGTGGTAAATGAAACACCACCACCACCACCACCAGGCTGAAGAAAAACAGTTATACGTAAACATTTACCCCAGTGTAATTCCAAATTAAGCAAAAACGGCACACAGAAGAATGTAAGAACTTACACAAAATCCAAGTCACGGCACTGCAGGACAGAGACATCTGACCTTCTGCTCTATGGCAGGATTTTCCACGTATAACTTAATTTACAAAGTATATAGTAATAGCACAGTACCCTTTATTAAAATAAATGAACCACATGCTACTGAAAAGGCAAAGCCCAAGGGCACAGGCTTGGAGAATTCCGCACACTGTATTCTCCAGCCCACTCCTGAAATGTTCTAAGTGGGGTTGCCAGGCCACAGCAGGCAACCGGCAGCAGCATGTTGCGGGCAGGGACTGGTGTGCTGACGCCGTGCCCATGCACTGATGTGATGGGGATATTCTAGGAGTTGCAAGAGTTTTTGGAAATTCTGTGGTGTCCCAAGATGTCACTTCTGGTTTTCACCTGAAATTGTATGTCAATGTGATAAACAATGTTTTGCCAGCTTGCTGTTGAATGAACACCTTAGTAAGAAATACAGTTTGCGTCAGTGTAATGGGTGAAATGGCTCCGACAAAATCAATTAATGAAGTTCACCAAGAGGAAGTTTCTTAGCTATCAAGTCAATGTCACCCAGTTCCTACCATACTCGGCCCACCAATCAACCTAGGAGAGCCAGATCTCCTGCCTCCTGGCAATTGTCCCATTCTCTACCAGTGTTTTATAGGCTGGCAAGGGGGAATGAGGAATTCCATCCCTAAATGCAGTATCCTTGAGAGTCCCTTGGACTGCAAGGAGATCAAATCAGTCAATCCTAAAAAAAATCAGCACTAACTGTTACCTGGAAGGCCAGATTCTGAAGCTCAAATACTTTGGCCACCAAATGAGAAGGGAGCACTCACTGGAGAAGACCCTGATGCTGGGAAAGATTGAAGGTCAAAGAAGAAGGGGATGACAAAGGATGAGATGGTTAGACAGTGTTATCGATGCAACGAACATGAAATTAAGCAAACTTCGGAGCACAACGGAAGACAGGAGGGCCTGGCGTGATGTGGTCCATAGGGTCGTGAAGAGTCGGACTCGACTGTGTGACTGAACAACAACAACATGCAGTATCCTATATGGACTTTTTGAGGTCAATGAACTACAAATAAAGAATAGAGAGACTGGAGAAAGAGCAACGTGGCAATCTCTTTTAAAATGTATAAAATGCTTCAAAAGCTGTGAAAGCACCAAGAACCTGATCACCATATTATGAATTCGAGTAGTCTAGGGCTTAAGGTCTTTAGCTCAGCCCTGACTTGGACAGCCCAGGCAAGCCTGATCTCATCGGATCTTGGAAGCTAAGTAGGGTCGACTCTGGCAAGCACTTGGATGGGAGACCTCCTTGAAAAACCAGAGGCGGGAGGTGGGGACAGGCTTTATTCAGCTACCTCTCTGAATATACTCCAGGCCCCCAGTAGGGGTCAGTCACCAGAGGTCGCCATGACTTCCAGATGCACACAGACTCACATGCGCGCACACACACCCATATAAAAAATACAACCCCCCCCCCCCAAAAAAAAAAGGTTTTTAGCTCAGACTAGGACAACTAGATCCTCAAATTGTTGTATTTAGAGGACTGAACTCCAAAAGATTTTCAATGTGAACTGATTTTACACAAGGTTAACTAATGATGGTGCCCTTTTATATTAAGTAGAATCTTTTGTAGACCAGGATAAACAGGATAAAGTGTAACTGTAAATAACAGGAAAACTGCAGACAATATATTGTCACTAGTACACCCACACTTTTTTTACAAAAACAATATCCTAAAGTATAACAAAATATCATATGAACAAAATGAAAATGTCAAAAAAATTCCTTTGAACAGTCTTACCAATTTTTAATTCATCAGCCAAACTTTCTTTTGTAAGACTCAGCAGCTCTTTACCATCAATGTTATTTTTTTGGAAAATCTCTACGAGGGCTTTTAAACCATGATTGCATAGCCAAACTGAAACATCTTCTTCTGACCAGTTCTCAATGGATGTTTTTGGACTCTCTTTTCGTGCAGTTTCTGAGTACGTGGGGGGGGGGGGGAATCAAAAGAAGATTAAACATTTTGGATAAATGAAGAAAATTTCTATATATCTATGGATCCCACTCCATATCAAGAACCCTACACAAGCAGGCCTTATTGTGGCTGCAGAACAGGCTTCTTCAAGTCTGGGAGAATCTAGTTTTGGCACCACTGACTCAGCCTGACCACCACCTGGTGTCTCAGGACAGCAGGGTTAAAAGGAAGGGACCACAGGGGTTGCAGGATAGGAGGAGAGGGTGAGCAGGGGGCAAGAGGGGGAGAAAATGGAGAGGAATGAGGGAAAAAATAAAGGAACTGATGACCAGAGGGTGGAAACAGAACTGAGAAGCAGGAGCCAAAGCAAGTGGTGAAGAGAAGGGGGAGAGAGAACGAAAAAAGGGGAGAGGAACGGACATGGAGGGGGGCTGGCTGGGGGAAATAGGATTTCCTGTCTAAAAATTCTTACAGGTCCCCATTTGTGATGTATGCAAAACAGTAAAGATGTTCCCCAAACTTTGAAGGTTCATTTCAATACAATGCTTCTGTAGTTCTACATTTCCCAATACAAATCCGTGAATGCTGCTCATCACAGCATGTTCTGCTCTTTATACCATTTTTCAGAGAGATCGACCCTAGACTGCAGTAAGGCTTTTCCAGTGGTGGGACTGACCACCGCATAATCTTTCAGGAAACTTCATGTTTTAGAAGGACTTTTGTTGATTTTGTTTTGTTTGCAGCAGACTTTGTGTTTGGGTTATCTTACAGTAAGGTTTTGTTGATTTTGTTTTGTTTGCAGCAGACTCTGTGTTTTTTTATTTTAAATGGATTTTATATAATTTGTTTATACGTTTGGCATAATGTATAGAAACTGACATGGTGAACAGCAATGTACAAATGTGTTCAATAAATAAATAAATATGTTTGCATCAAACTTTAAAAAGGGCTAGTCAACACATAATTGCTTGACATATTTATGCACTTACAAAATGGCAAACAACATTTTTGTTGTTTGACTACAGAACTACAGTATCCTGGGAAAGACCAACCAGAAGCCTTGGAAAACCATAGCAGACTTTTAGAATAAGAAGCTGACTGACTTAGTGGCTTCATCTGTGTGTGTGTGTGTGTGAGAGAGAGAGAGAGAGAGTAATATCTTTACCTTATGTTAACAAATGATGAATATTTAAAAAACATGAGGCAAATGCTTTTCTGTACTAACCTGTGAAAAGTTTTTTTGGTTCAAACTGCCAGATGTTCACACATTTATCCATAGAACCCGTAGCAAATAATGGAATATCTGGTGCAAAGGCACAAGTTGTAACATACCTAGAAATAAAAACAAGTTGATAGATATATATCACAGATGAAAAGTTCCCAGTAGCTAATATTATGGAAAAAATATCCTAATATCACACCTGGTATGCTGAGTCAAAGTGTGTAGGATGTTTCCAGTGTTCTGCCAATGACAATTAAAAAAATGTTTCAGGGCAAGCAAAGGTCAGTTATAACCAATAATCTATTTTTTGCTGGAAGCTTTAGTCCAAAGAGCATTTGTAATCATGAAGCATAGAAATTAAAACAATTTTTCTAAAAGCGCAAATAGATTAGCTGCAGAAGAAAACAATATATAACAAAATTGCTCTGCAGAAATAAAATACATCCTACACTTGTAGCACTGAGGAACGGAATCTTTCAAATGGAATGCTTCAACAGCTGCTTAATATTTTAAATACTTTTTAAAAAATCCTAAAAAAAGCTGAATAAGCAGCACTCAAAAAATTAAAATGATAAAAAAGACCATGATAATTCATCAGTAATACTCTTTATATTAAGAAAACCTTGTGCTTAGCATACTTGGCCACTAGATGCTACTCTTCACAAGCATATTTTTGTACCCTGCATTAATAAGATAACATAATAGGGCTGCTTCATTATTGGGGGGGGGAGGAAGGTTTATTTAAGCAGAATTTTCAAAAGACATAAGACTTAATTGACAAGAATTCCTAAGAAAAAATATCCACTTTGGTGTCAGCTTCAGATTTACAATATTTACACAGAAGGAATACAACTCTGAAAGTAAGATTAATAATGTTTTGTGTGTATACACATACACACAAAAAGACTACTACTGGACACAACTGTATCTCTTAGGCAAATGTAAGACAACTTGTGAAAAACACCTACTCTTTCCTTTGAGTAAATAGTGTAATGCACTTCAGACCATAAACTAAGGTCACAATCTTTTTAAAGTTTTTAAGGGCAAAATTAGATGTGATGTGGAGGGAAATCCACATGTATTTATTGTAGGGTTGCCAGGTCGAATCTTCTCTCCAGCGGGAGGAATTTGGGGGGCATTCCAGGAGGGGGAGGGGACTTCCCGACGCGATGATGTCACATGGAAGTGACTTCATCATGTCCAGGAAGCCAGTGCTGAGCATGCCTGAACTGCAAGTGGTGAATTTGCCACTTGGAGTTTAGGCATGGATAGCCCTTGCTTGAAAAAAACATTTAATAATCTTTTATTTATATAATATAACAACAATGTACAGTAGCCCATACTATTAGGAAACCACAACAATAACAATATAATTACAAACACAAGCCTTCCCCCCCCAAAAAAAAACCACAAGAGCAATAAAACCAAACAGCTATTCAATATATAGCTATAACCTTCAAATGATCAGGAAGTGCCTTTTTAAGCTTACTATGTCTTTCCATATATTCAACAAAAGGGAACCAATGTTCCAAGTAATCTGAATGAAAGTCCGGATTCTCTGCCAGGGAAATAACATCTGATATTTTATCCAAGACCAGGTATTCTCATAACTTACTGAACCACATGTTTGATGAGGGTTGTATACTATATTTCCAATGCCTAGCCACTATAGTCTTGGCTGCCACCAACATGTAAGAAACGAGATCTTTCCTGACAGCAGGAACATCTATCCCCTCCCATAAATTAAGCAATCCCTCTTAGGGATACTGTGCCCAGTAATATCACACATCAGTTTAAGAATAGTGGTCCAATATTGCATTATAGCAGGGCACGGCCACCAGCAGTGAATGTAAGAGCCAGGCTGCCCACAACTCCTCCAACACCTGGGGCTGTATGAGGGTAAAATTAGCTGCTTTAGAGTTCAGGCACAAGGTGCTCGCTTCCTGGGACTGGCAGCCATCCCCTCCCTCCCTCCCTGAGAGATTTAAAGGGTCCTCCATCTGATCGTGCCCTTTAAATATTGCAGGAGGGAGAGGGGCAGTGGGCAAGAGCCCTCAAATGCAGGGGAACCCCTCTCCCAACCTTTGGGATGGCAACCCTAATTTATTCATCGTACAAATTTTTTCATTCTTCTTAATTTTTATGTCCATATGTGTGTGTCTTGTGTTGTGGGGTTATTGTTTAAAAGAGTTCATGGGCAAGGGCAACTAAACCTTCCCCCCCGGATCTGGATTTTAGCACAGTTTAAGGCAGGGGTCTCCAGTGTGATGCCCATGGGCACCATGGTGTCTGATGAGTCCTTTCCTGGTGCTCACCAAGTGCTTTTTAAGAAGTAGGCAAGACCAGGTGGGGCTTTTGCCCAGCAAGGATTCTGATTGTCCACTGGAGATTTGATTGGCTGTGCAGTTCTTTTTAAAGATGTCTGCTGCTGCAGCTGTTACCCCACCACAAGGATCTTCACTGTGTGACTGAAGGTAATTTGCAGCAGCCATTGTATGGTTGGCTCCACCTCCTATACCAGCAATTTTGTGGCTGCACCCACCATGTTGTATCAAAATTCCAAAGGCACCCTCAGGCTCAAAAGGGTTTAGGGCCTAAGATTATGAGGGGCTTCTATGTACAAAATTTACTAAAAAGTACTAGTTTACGATTTTAGTAATGCTATGGGGCCCTTAAACTTGACAGAATTTTAACCTGGGTCTCCCAGATCTAGGGATGTCAGGATTTGGGGACAGGTGCACTGGAGTCATTTTGGTGCAAGACGTCACTTCTGATGAAAAAACCACAAGTGACACCATGACACTGGAGGCGACTCTCTGGAATTTGACTAAGTGCTATGGTTAAAACATAAATCCTAATCATCTCCCACATCATACTGCCATGGCTGCTTTTCACTAGAACTGACCTCGAATGACAGTTGCACGCCTGTCCCTCCCCCCAGCCTTTGAGGGGCCAGAAAGCAATGGGAGGGATCGCTGAGAGACCTGGCATCCCTATCTAGATCTTAGACCAACACTTTAACCACAGCACCAAACTGGCCCTACCGCAGTGGCCTACCAGATGCCCTAGAAGTCCCACAACAGAGGCACACAAGCCCAAATGTCTCTTGTTGTCCCCCAGCAAATAGTACTGAGAGATACACTATCTTAATGAATCAAAATTCTGTTTTGTTTTTTGGAAGGACCTCCACATGAGGCTCACCCGGCACCTTGGACAAGGAAATTGTTTTTTCAGTGGGCAGAAACCCTGAAACAGATGTCCTTCTTTTTGCAGAAGTTAGTAATTTCTAGCTTTAGACAATTGACTAAGTAACAGACAAGAAGAAAAACAGATTCTTAATCCTCTTGTGCTAAACATAACATATTGATGAGAAACAAAGAGGATGACAATTCAATTTTTAAGCTCCTGCAAGATGTGAGCCAGGAAATGAGGTAGAATTACTGTGTCAAGTACAACTATATTTCAACACATGTTTCTGTGTCAAATAAAACAATGAAAGCATGGATCAGTTCCCAGCATTTAATATTTATATTTAATATTATTTATATAATTTATAGTCCACCTTTCTCACAGAGAAAGCACATTTGTTTCTGAAGGTCTGGTCTCCGCACCACATGTCTAAAGGCCACTCAACTTCATCTAATAATTGTAAGCCCTATGAGAAACATATGAGGCTATAAAGAAAAGGCTGTTGTGTAAGGACAGCTGAAGAAGAAGAAAAGATTTCTGCCAGGGGGCAGCTGTAAAGGTCAGTGGAAAAGAAATGTTGAAAAGAAGCTACAGATGTTATGTTAGCTTGTCTTCCCTCACTCTCATGGTACAGGTACCTCCTGGACCACCACCACAACTTACTACATGTACATAACTTAACCCAATAATTTTTTTTTTAACTACATCAAGCATTTCGCTGTTCTGATTTAAAATGGTTTGAATCAGTGGCTTGGCTTGGATCTTGCCTAGAATTTCCACAGGTATAAGGAAGGGGATGATTTACACCAGTTCCCATCTCCATGGTGGCTCAACCACCCCCATGCTGCTCTTGAGAATCCCCAGAAATAGCTGGGGGGAATCAGAGGTCTCTTGCACGGTGCAATAGGCGAAAATAATCTCTCCTTGGTTTACACCCATGGAAATCCTAGGTAAAATCCAAGCCAAGATTAGTATCACATTACGAAAAATATTCTAATCATATATTGATGAATGTCAAAGTCTATATCACAATAGACCCCAGCAACATCTATTATATTGATTATAAAATCTAGAACATGATAGAGAGCTACTGATATACTGTATTGCAACAGCTCTTTAATCTCAAAATTCACAATGATCAAGCTTAATCCTATCTTACTGCAGCAAAAGTACAGCAGAGCCATACTGCTCTGTATGCTACATGTAATGAAACAGCTCCAATTCCCTTAATATATTGAAAAGCTGGCACAATACGATTCATATCTTAAATGGTTAAATACTTACAGTTTCAAAAATAATAACTGTTTTGTCCACAGATCTAATAAAAATAAATTAAATGGTACATAAATTTTAAAGAATGGCACAGCAAGAAATATGACAAAACTTGTTTTGCAACAAGAGATATTAATAGTTCTTATAGTTTTCAACTGTCCTGATTCAATAAAATATAATGCTATAAATGATTATATCAGCTCTCATTGCACCACTGTTAGACAACGATCTAGAGATCTGCATCAGTCTTTATTCACCTCACAGTAACCTAGGAAGTCTAGTCTGTCAAAAAAATAAACAGAATGAAAAACAGCTGGAAGAAACTATATGGGTGCGGTCAGACGGCAGGCTGGGAGCAGTGTAAACCGCTCCGGTTCCAACTAGATGAATTTGATCTGGGGGAAGTGCGATCACGCTCACCTCTTACATTGCTCCTCAGCGTCCACACTTCAGGCGCTCAGCAGAGCGTGTTGGCGGGTTGGGTTTTTTTACACAGTTTGAACATGCACATAGGCAGTCTTCCTTATAATGAAGATCTTTGCGCAGGCACAGAACAACCCAACCCGAAAAGCATGCCCTGAAGTGAAGACGTCCCTTTAAATTTTTACTCTGAAACTGGCCTCCGTGAGGTCCCGGACTCGTCTAAAGCCTTACACTAGGCACTTTTAAAAAAATTTAACAACGGGGCGAAGCTTCGCCCAAGCGCACATTGCCCACTAAAAAAAAAAGGCGGCCGAAAAGCGGAAGTGGCTCTACACCAACGGAGAGCGATCAGACAAGGGAAAAGCAGCTAGAACCGAAGCACTCAGGAAAACACCACTTGGGTACCTAGTGACAAACTACACCAGTTTAAGGGGTGTTTGTGACGGTTGGCAACGGTTAGGGATGGAAGGCAGATGTTGTGCGTGTGATCGCGCATAAGTACTCCGATTCTAACCGGCATCTATACCACCTTAAATGCCCCGTCTCAACGCACCCTATCAGAAACAAATTGTTCTGAACATTAATACCTCATGGTTCTGACAGAAAAGCTAATAGAAAAACAGTGTTCTGTAGCTGTAATCTTTCCTAGCCTCCTAGGCACTATTTGACAACTGGTCTTGTATTCTGAATAAACTGATCCTTAGTTGACTCGGACTGGCACAACAGCTATCAGTTCCCAAGACTTTGATTTACCAAAACTAATTTACAGTGCCACCCTGAGCCCAGTTACATCCTACTAAGTCCATTGAAATCAGTGGGCTAAGAATGGTGCACTCCTACTTAAGATGGCACCGTTAAATGTTCTTTTACAAGAACATTTTGTGACACCATACATAAATCAATTCTTTAAAAATTCAGAATGAATTTAAATCATAGCAGCATCTTTTCATTACAAAAATAGAGGAAGCTATATGGCTAAGTGAGCAGAACTGTAAAAATTAAACCCCAATAATAAAATTGAAGATTTACCCAGATATTACTGTTTGCCCATCACAGGAAAAAGCACAAGCCAGAACTGGAGCAGTATGTCCACTTAATGTATGTTTACATCTTAATTCCATGCCTATACGTGAAAAAAAATGTAAATTTAAATGCTCTGAATAAATTGACAGGCTTATAATATTGAATACAAGCCAAATATGTGCTACTGTTTGCCTTGTCTTCTAATTTAAATATTAATAAAAGACAGCCTTTTAAGACAGGTTCTTCTCTCCCTGTCCCCATTAGTCCCAAATAACTCCAAAAAGCCCTGTGAAGTGGAAAAATGAAAAAGCAACATGGGCACAGCATACATGTGTGATGTTTTGGTATTCTGACCCTGCCCAACATGCACTATGGAAAATGCCAGCAGACTAGGGCTGCCAAGTGGGGGTGGGTAACCCCCCGCTTTGGAGGCCCGATTTCCACCGCTACGGAATCGGGCCCCGGGGGGAACTCCGCCCTCTGAAGCGCAGCATGTCTGCATCACCAGAGGTGACGCAACCACACCCTTCACATTGGGGGCGTGGCCCCGATCATCGGAGGGAAAACTCTATGGTTTTCCCTCTGACGATCAGGGCCATGGCCTCAATGTGATCGACGTCGCGTGTCACTTCGGGTGACATGCTGGCAGCACACGCACACGACGAGGGATGGCTCCTGGAGCGCGGTGAGGCTCCCCCGCCGGTGAGTGAAATTCACTTGGCAACCCTACAGCAGACATCTAAAACAGGCAGATCACAAAAATCTAAAATAGAGAAGGGACATAGCTTCAATTGCAAAGAAAGTATACCTACATTTCATTATTATAGTAGGTACTTAGGTTGATTTAAAGGTATCCTTAGACAGAGTACTACAAAGTATCCTAGGGAGATACTAGGCAGAATTTTACTTTCATTTTTGTACTATTAATTTTCTTTCGGGGGGAAATGCTTGTTTCTAGTAGTCTTATATTTTATATATAATATTCAGTTACTTAATTCCAGTAAAAATTGCATGTTTAAAAGTCCATTTTCAGAGAGCAAACAACCTTCCACATTATAGCTTCAGATATTATTAGCACCATGTGCTAACTTAGGGCCAAACTAAAGACAATAACAGGAAATCAGTGAATGGATCTCCCACAGGACATTTTTTTTTAAAGCAGAGGGATATTAATCTGATGCAAAATGCCACTTCTTAACCCTGCTCCAAACTGCCATTTTCCATGCATCATATGTATGGGCCCTTGTGTGTGTAAAGTGCCATCAGGTTGCTGACAACTTATGGTGATCCCAGCAAAGGGCTTTCATGGCAAGTGAGAATCAGAGATGGTTTGCCATTGCCTTCCTCTGCAGACCCTTCCTTGGTGGCCTCCCTTCCAAGCATCAACCCTGCTTAACTTCCAAGAACTGATGATATCAGGCTACATTGAGCTGCCTTCTCTCCCTCTGTATAGGCCCTCACCATGCAGTCTTTTAGGGCTTCATCTGAACCATATTATAAAACCAGAAAACATCCAGTTTTATGGTATAAAAATTAACTATTTTATGGTATAAAAATTAAATACACTATCTGAATATAATCTACAAAGTTTTCCAGATAATGGTTCATTTAGATTACATTGCAATACGTTGGAATAAAAAAGTAGAAATGCAAGAATATATGGGGCAAAGTGAAATGCTATTTCAGCAAAAAGCAAAGCAATCCTCTACTAAGGGCAAGTGTTTATATACTCTGCACAGCATTTAATCATTGCTTCTAGCACTTCCGGGTTTCCCAGCTCCTAATTATACACTTTATTTCCTTTAACATAATTTTTATACACAACACATGGCCACATTTTTACACAAGCCAGAGGCAGGTATTATTGGACAGCAGCTGCAGCCCCATCACCTTAGGACGGTCAACAACTGGGAGTTGGGGAAGAAAATACACTTTATTTCCTTTAACATAATTTTTATACACAACACATGGCCACATTTTTACACAAGCCAGAGGCAGGTATTATTGGACAGCAGCTGCAGCCCCATCACCTTTGGGAGCTGGGGAAGAGAGGCTTCTGTTGATCCTAGTGGCAACAGTTTCCATTCTCTTGCCCTTTCACTCTGTCATGGCCATTTGCTGAGGGTCCCAAAACCCAGAACTGGCCCTGTACATCTTGCATGTTTATGGAACATACAAAATTCATACAGCATATGGAACAATAAAAATGATACCCTGTAGTTACCCTTGCCAATATTTCAACATAAGCCAATAGCTAAGAAGTACAGCAACATGAAGGTTAGTAGTGTTGTGGGCATGGGTTTTTGGTTTGCTTGTTTTATTATACTTACCTATGGGATCAGCGGATGAAACAATCCATATCTTAATTACATTATCCTGCCCAGAAGAAGCCATCTGGAATTCTTGTTTATTACCTGATTTAAAAATGTATTTTGAAATGCATCAAGAATACAACAAAACAAGGTTTCTTATTTTTAATTAATGTCTCCTCATTCAATAAACTGAGCAAAATTAATAGTTCTTAAAAATATGTCAAATTTAAAAGGTGTTCACCCATTACAGGTACATAAAATACAAGCCACTGTGTGGAGAGGATAAATCGTTATGCCATGTACAGTTTATACAGTATCGGTGATCATTTCCCATAACCACCTAGGCCCAGCATACCTTTTGGGGCTCCCTCCCATATGCCACCCATTGTTACACAATGCCATTAGCTTCACAATTAATTCAGAAATTCTCTAATCATAAATTAAAGAACCAGCATGGTATAGTGGTCAGAGTGTCAAACTAAAATCCAAGAGAACCCAAATCCAGGAGACCCCCATTGTACCATGAAGCTTGATGGGTGACCTTGGGACAATTCTTTCTTAAACTAATCTGGCTCACAGGGCTGTCGTGAAGATAAAATAGAGAAGAGAAGGTATACTGCCTCGAGCTCCATGGTACAAAATGCACTAAATAGGGTGGCACAAAAATGAACTAAATAAATAATAAACCAGCTAAAATGTGGCACATTTTAGATAAATAAAATAATAAAGACTTCTTGTTAGAAATTAAATCAGTGTGTGACTGCCCCTATTCCAGCACATTCTTTCTGCTCTTGGAATTCACTTGCAACCCACCCTTTCCTCTATGCTGAGATTTCTTTTAAAGAATGTCAATAAACAAAACACAGTTTTGCAAGTTATCCACAAAACAATTGCTACAAAGAGGGTGGGGAACCAAGTTATTTATGGAAAACATTTGATTCTAAGAAGCCAATTAGTAACACAACCAAAGGGAAAGGAGATGATTTGATGTAATTGGCAGGATGGAAAAAGAATAGCTTTTAGCAGTTTTCCCAAAAGAGAAGAAAACATCTACAGCAAGTGCATCACTGTCAGAATCAAAAAAGGAAAACTATAATGACTGCATGCACCCCCCCCTCCGGAAAGATGACTCAGAAAGAACAACATGAATTCTATATTAACAGAAAATGGAGATCTACCAGGGGACTGTCACTGAAAGAACAAAGAAGAAGGGAAGATTAATGCATTTAAATCTATAGGAAAAATACCTAAACCAATAACCTAATGAAACAAGCAATGTGACTGATTTACTATATCACAGCAAATATTATTTTAAAACAGTTAATGCATATGTTTCCCAGAAACAGATGTGTTAAATTATCCACCTATAACTGAATCCATTAAAAAAAATTAAAAGCACGCTTTATTTTTATTTTACTTTCACTTGAAATATAGATTCTATATTTCTACAAGGGTCTTTTTAACAGTGATAATCACTGCATTTATTAAATTAGTAACTGATATATGTCACCAATATTGTCAGTTCCAGTTTTTTTACATTAAAAAGAAAAAAAACATAAGCTTTAAACATAGATGTCCATTAAACAGGAATTTTTTTTCTAGAGTTACAGGACACTTGTCTATAGTCAGAGAGTTCCCAGCGTGTCCTAATACTCATCCCCATGCAAAATAGTTGAAGACTTTGGTCACCGTCATTAATCTTTTATGAGAACTGAAGTGGTATCAAATGATGCGGTTAGCACAGAGAGATTTTGGTCCACTGATAGAACGAAGCTACAGGTTCCACTAATTAGACTGGTTATTCTACAAAGGAAGGTGCCTCACTGTGACACAGTTTACAAATTGAATCACACATCAAAGCAGTTACAATTGGTGAAACTTCTTATGTAGAAAGAATGTGTTTGCATCCTGTGTTCAGGATGGCCTAGATAGCCTGCCCTACTACTGTAGGAGCAAGCAGCCATTGTATCGCTATGTAAAAAAAAGTACAACATTCCAGATTCCTCCAAAAGGAGCAAGAGCATGGAGGCATAATCTATAAAGTGTCCACAGGTTTGTAATACTCAACAATTTGGTCGGAAGGCAAGTGAATCCCCACCCACTTCACTTGACTTAGCTGAAGGCATTCTGATGCTGCTGGAAGATAATGAATTAGAGAGAAAGCACAAGGCAGAAATGCAAACTAACATCAATCCATGATTTGGGAGTGGCAGCGCAAATCATAACTTGCTGTTCAGATGTGATCGAAAACTATGTCTTAATTCAGATACAATCCAAAAGCATATTTTAACTGAGCATTCATCTATAAACAGGGCTGCCAACCTCCAAGGGGTGGCTGGAGATCTGGGATTACAACTGATCTCCGGGCGAGAGAAATCAGTTCACCTGGAGAAAATGGCCACTTTGGAGGTGTGGTATTATACCCCACTGAAGTCCCTCCCCTCACCAAAATCTGCCCTCCTCAGGCTCCACTCCCCAAATCTCTAGATATTTCCCAACCCGGAGCTGGAAACCCTATCTGTAAACCAGGATTTGATCCACAGAAAACTATTCAAACCTTGGTTTGTTTTTAATACTATATTTTTATTATTTTTGCTTTTCCATACCTCCCCTACATTCACTTGGGCAATATCGAAGAAGAGGAGGAGGAGAAGGAAGAGGAGGAGATTGGATTTATACCCCGCCCTGCACTCGAAGTCTCAGAGCAGTTTACAAACTCCTTTCCCTTCCCCTCCCCACAATAGACAGCCTGTGAGGTGGGCGGGGCTGAGAGAGCTCTTTCAAGAACTGCTCTTTTAAGGACAGCTCTTGTCAGCACTATGGCTTGCCCAAGCTCATCCAGCAGCTGCAAGTGGAGGAGTGGGGAATCAAACCCGGTTCTCCGAGATTAGAGTCCACGCACTTAACCACTACACCAAACTGGCTTACACTGTAGTGAAATTGGTGTCAGGAATAAGCTACGATACCTATGTCCAAACATCATACAAAAATCATAGTTAAGGCTACAGTTAAACAAAAAACTAACGGTAGTTTCATATCCTGGTTTGATACATTTTAACCAACCATAGATAGCGAAGTGCCCCACAATCAAATGATTACCCTAATCAAAAATGAACCAAGGATCAAACCAGGAGACAGACTGAGGAAGACAAATGCACAAAGGGAGTTGAAAAATCAAGTTTGGGACAGATGTCATTCCCTAATACAGGCCTTAACACATTTTCAGTACTATGAGCCACCCCAACAATTTAGGAGTCAGGCATATTTTTCAGCATTCATGGTTTTATAGTTTAATGACCATAATTTTTAATTATTGCTACCACAAAACCTAATCTTAAACTATTCAGAGTTTCCTGTCATGTTTTTTTTAAAAAATACTGTAACAAAAGTGTTGTAGTGTATAAACAAATAAGGGGTAACCCTGGTTGTCATCACAACAGAAAGCTAACCACTACACCACTCCTAAATAAGCTTTGCACTTCAACTGAGAATCACCAAGGGGCACTTACAATAAATGACTGCTGAAAATCCTAGAAGCTACGATGAAATTTCTAGGCACCATGGTGCTTTGGGATTTGTTGAGCCGTGTCTTAATTACTTTTTCTTATAGAACATAGTTTGAGTCCATTGGCATCTTTAAGACCAACAAAGTTTAATTCTAGGTATAAGCTTTTGTATGCATGTATACTTATCAGATGCACACAAAAGCTTATACCCAGAATTAAACTTTGTTGCTCTTAAAGGTGCCAATGGACTCAAACTTTGTTCTATTGCTTCAGATCAACATCCCTACCCAGCTGAATCTATTTTTCTTGTAGTTACAAACAGAACTAAACTCTACCAGTTTCCTTTTAGAAATACAAATGATTTGTGAAAAAATAACATTTTAAGTACTCCTTATTTCCTTATCTTCTATAGTGCAAGATACTGATGTTGAGAGAGAAAATCTATTTACAAAATACTATTACAAAACAGTGTCATAAACTTGCAGAGAATAATCTGTTCATAGCTGCGGTGGCTCAAGTGGTTAAGATGCTGAACTGCAGGCTGTGGGAGGTCAGTAGTTCAGCAGTTCGAGACCCGAGTGCCGCATGACGGAGTGAGCTCCCGTCTCTGGCCCCAGCTCCTGCCAACCTAGCAGTTCAAAAGCAAGAAACTGCAAGCAGATAAATAGGTACCACTTCAGTGGGAAGGTAACAGAGTTCCGTGCGCCTTGGTGTTTAGTCATGCCGGCCACATGACCAAGGAAACGTCTTCGGACAGCGCTGGCTCTTCGGCCTTGAAACGGAGATGAGCACCACAACCCTAGAGTCGGATTCGACTGACTTTCGAGCAAGGGAACCTTTACCTTTTAGACTGAAGCTCTTAGTGGGGTTCAAAATTAGAGATCTAGAAGCACAAGTTATGTGGGAAAACCTGGACAGTATTCCACAAGTATTCCACAGAGGACTTTTTAAAAAAGTAGACTATACAAAACTAAAGCCAGAACATCCATTCGTCAGTATATTTTGAGTTTTATCACGCAACTGAAGAAGGAGAGTTGGTTTTATACCCTGCCCTTCACTACCCAAAGGAGTCTCACAGCGACTTACAGTCACCTCCCCTTCCTCTCCCCCACAACAGACACCCTGTGAGGTAGGTGGGGCCAAGAGAGCTCTAAGAGAGCTGTGACTTAGCCAAGGTCACCCAGTTGGCTTTATGTGGAGGAGCTGGGAATCAAACCTAGTTCTCCAGATTAGAGTCCGTCACTCTTAACCATTACACCAAACTGGCAATTGAGTGTTTACACAGCACAGCCACTATACCTTTGCATTCACAGGATTCCCCCCCACACAAGTGTCCAGCCCTCATGAATCATCATGCTATTATCATAGTGCTTTAATCTGCAAAAGATTCCAGAAGTTAACAGATGCTTCTTTATTTGGCAACAATAGATGACTTTCACTTGTTGCTTCCAGTTACTTTCCCTAAAAATACTAGTCCCTTGATTCCCATTGTTCTTCTCCACCCTTTCCAAAAATTCAAAATCCTACATAACTCAAATATTGATTCCTCAATAAAGCATATAAATTGAGGATATATATTTATTTGTTTAATGTGTTCTAAGAGAAAAAATTGTGTGGATTCCTAGTTTCAAAGCACTTGACTTATGGGAGTCATTGCTTGTTTTGTAAAATCTAAGCTACGATAACCGTCACTATAAACGGGCTATACACATCAATGCAGTACTTTAAATGTCATTTTAAAATGTTTGGTCTCCTGGTTTTGCTCTTTTTAAAAAGCTAGACAATGTTCAACATGAGTACAATGAGGAAAATGGCATACTTCTTAGCATAATTCTCCTTATCACACAACTTAGGCTTCCTTCACACAGAGTATTAACAGCTTTGTTTTACAGATATGCCAATCATTCAGATACTTTCCTAGACACTTTCTCTATAATCACAATCAGGAGACGGCCAACTGAAGAGAAAGGAAAGCACTCTGAAACATCAGGAACAGTCTGCTTCTGTTCACCTACCTGATGGCAAACAGACTATGAATAAGATATAGAACATAAGATGAAAAAAGATATTATAAGGAATTATTTAAATTGCAAGTTAACTAACCTGAAACTGGCTGCGAAGAAAAGTCACAGCAGGTGACTCCAAGATCGTGAGCTTTCTCATTATACAAGCACCTCATTTTGTCATCCCAAACAGTTAAATCTCCACATGATGATCCTGTCACAAAGAAGCTTCCATTAGGAGCAAATGCGCAGGCCACTAAGGAGCCATCCTGAACACTGCCGGATCTGAAAGACAAGAATAAAGGAATTGAACTTCATAAATTCAGTACCCTGAGAATGTTATAAGTAAAATATTTTAATGTTATACCAATTCTAGAACAGAATATAAAAAAGCATTCTAACTTAAGGCAAATACATTAACACCCTACACAATATAGAGAGATAAATATTTAACTATGGAACATCAGGCTTCTATTCACCTCCCACATATAGATTGATAATTTATAATCACTTAATGAAGTTTTTACTTATAAACCACCTCAAGCAGGACTCCAGAGAAGCAGCGTAAGATGTTCCTAGGTAAATAAACAGCATGGCACAAGAAGTTTGCCTTTCTTCAATAATGAACTTAGATTTATGTTCAATGCAATATGAAGGAATTTACTATTACAAAATTCAGAGTTTCTAGCAAATTATGTTTTGTGGGACACATTGCTGCTAAGAGTGGTAGGTCTGCTATTATCTTCTAATAAAAGAGGTTATGTCTCCATATGATCTACATTTTGAAGCAAAGGAAGAAATAAAAGATTTCTAGGCTCAGAAAAATGATTGCATTCAACGGTTGCGTGATACAGGCTGTCTACATTACCTGCACCACACTCACATACTCTATTAGAGTATGGTATCTTAAGATACCTCCCTTGCAGTACTCTAGATGGCAGGGCATTAAGGCATGCCAAAGGGACACCTATAGCAAGGAACAGTCAAATATGAGCAGTAATCGGGGTCACTCTCCAGGTGGAAGAATACCAACAAACTGAGTAGAACAAACACGTCGTGCTCTACAGACTGTACTGTTATAATCATACTTAAATAGATGTTTCTTGGGAATTCTTATGGCTTCCTGTCTGATAACTAAATAAAGGGAATCCAAGGAAAGATAGTCGTTGCTCGACAAGTTATTAATAAGAACAGCTTTAAGTGAAATTAAATCTGATGTTGAAATGGTCTCAACTCTGTGCAGAACTTGCCTCTAAAACAGTAATGCTTAAGTAGTAAAACTGACACAGTCTTTGCTTTTTGGCAATCCCATAACATTTTCCCACAAAGAACCCAACCTGTTTGCTTTGTCTAGTTCTGCACCTTAATAACTGTCCTATACACAAACAGCAAACAATGTTTTTATTATAAAAATTATCCTTACATACACGCCTGTTATTTTGAAACAGTTCAGTGTAGATTATTCACACAATACTAACTGAATAGTCAGGTCACTGAAATCAAAGGATCAAGGTTAACCCCATTTTTATTATCAACAGAAAGGGAGGGGCTCAGTGGCACTGCATTCAGATCCTAGGTTCGGTCTCTGGTATTTTCATTTAAATGAATCTCTGGTAACAGTTACTAGGAAAGGTCTTTCTCTGCCTAAGGCCCTGGAATACTGCCACGGAAAGGCCCTGGGAAATTGCCAGAGCAGACTCTGCTGAGGTAGATGGACCAAGATCTGACTCAATATACAGCAGCTTCATATTTTCACAAAGGTTCCTTCACCATTACTAATATAAAAAGTTTAATGCTCCTTCCACTGTAATGAACACCAGGTAGGGCTGCCAAGCCACGGCGGGGGATCCGTGCGTCGTCAAGCAAAGGAACAATTAAAATATTTCTAGGCTAAAAAAATGATTGCATTCAAAGATCACATGATACAGGGTGTCTGTACTACCTGCACCACAGTCGCATAGTCTATCAGCATATGGTATCTTAAGATACCTCCCTTGCAAAATTCTAGATGGTAGAGCATAAAGGCATACCTATAGTGAGGAACAGTCAAATTGAGCTGTAATCAGGGAGCTCTCCAAGTGGAAGAATACCAACAAACTGAGTAGAACAAACACGTCGTGCTCTACAGACTGTACTGTTATAATCATACTTAAATAGAGGACACTACGAGCGTCACATCCTGGCGACGCCGGCGCAACGCGTATCGCTGTCCCCCCGCGGCAGGGATCCTGTGACGACGCAGAGATCCCCCGCTGTGGCTTGGCAGCCCTAACACCAGGTAAAGAAGATGTGTGTCTAAACACTTTCAAGTAAGGTTGCCAGGCCCCCCACACAGGCCTCCTACTGGCAAGCCTTGTTGCCTGCTGCCGCTCAGAGCAGTGGCAGGAGAAACAAAAAACAAAATGCCAGCGGTGCAGATACCATGATGTCACTTTTGCGGAAAATCCAAAAGCAGGGTCACATTTCTCTAGGAACTGCCAGTGATCCCTAGATCAAGGTGATGTCACTTCTGTCTTTTCCTGAAACATGACACCAACACACACACCCATGTCCCTGCCCCCGCCTCCCAGCCAGCCGCTTGCCCGGCAGCGTTACTTTCAAGACTATAATCTTTCCAGGTATAGGAAGCCAAGATACTCACCGATGGACTTTCAAAGTCTGAACGTTCCAAAGAATTACACTGCCATCAGCTGCTCCTGAAACTAAATACAAGGAATCAGGAGAAAATCGACAAATTCTTACAGGGTTTCCTGAGGGATGCTCGAGAACTGCTAGCTTCAGTCCATTTTGAGTGTTCCACAGAACCGTGGTGCCATCAGTAGAACAAGAAGCTAAAATGTGTCCCGAAGGAGAAAAGCAGCAGCAGTGAACAGCGTAAGTATGGCCTTTTAATGGTGAGTAAGGAAGCTCTTCAAAATTGCTTAAACAATACAGACGGATAGTTTTGTCCAAGGAACATGTAGCCAAGAAGGAAGAAGAAAAGGCACAGTAGTTGATATCGTCACTGTGATCTGTTAAAGTACAAATTAATTTCACCATTTCATAAGGTTACCTGCAACAAAGAAAGAGAAATGTTATAATAACTCATAAATATCTTGATTCCAGTCTGTGTGCTGCTTAAGCAACAGCCAGTTATGCTTTATTAATAACTCTACCACAGTTAAAAAGCTTATCTGTTCTCAAAGAACAGCTATCTAGCCTTTAAGAAGGCAAATATAAATATTGCCACCCACTGGAACAAGACTGTGCCATTGCAAATAGCAGCATGAATAAGATTATCAAGACATGCTATAGCTACAATCTCTCTCTCCTAAATCTTGGTGGGTAGCCATGTTGGCCTCAAGCAGGGCAACAAAGTTTGAGTCCAGTGGCACCTTTAAAAACTTTGTTGGTCTTAAAGGTGCCACTGGACTCAAACTTCATTCTCCTAAATCCTGTTTTAAATTCTGAAAATCCAAACCATAACCTTTTAAAAAAGATTCTGATTTTCATGTTTGTGATAAATCCTGAAAATGTAATAGGTGTCCCGACCCAGCCTAAATTCCTTTTCTCAAATATAGATATCAGCATTCCTGGAAAATACATTAAACCTTTGAGCAACGATTTCAAAGGCTTAACATATTTAATGTTAGACTGTAAACATTTTAAAGGACACATAAAATATTCATGTTATATGTAAAATTATTTAGTTTAATATAAACATTAAAAAGTAAGCATGCAGATATATAAGTGCGGGGGTTGTTTTCTACCGTGATTTCTAAATCTTCACTAAAGACATAAGCTTTAAACATAGATGTCCATTAAACAGGAATTTTTTTTCTAGAGTTACAGGACACTTGTCTATAGTCAGAGAGTTCCCAGCGTGTCCTAATACTCATCCCCATGCAAAATAGTTGAAGACTTTGGTCACCGTCATTAATCTTTTATAAGAACTGAAGTGGTATCAAATGATGCGGTTAGCACAGAGAGATTGGTCCATTGATAGAACGAAGCTACAGGTTTCACTAATTAGACTGGTTATTCTACAAAGGAAGGTGCCTCACTGTGACACAGTTTACAAATTGAATCACACATCAAAGTAGTTACAATTGGTGAAACTTCTTATGGGTTGTTTTCTACCGTGATTTCTAAATCTTCACTAAAGACATCCCATCATGACCACTGAGGAACAAAATAGCGATTTTCCACTGTTAAGCCCATTATTTGCTGCGCTGTGAGAAAACACAGATGCTACGGAACCTTCACTGAATTAAATTCCTCTGAAAGATCTTAGTCAAAATTAGCATGTTTGAATTAGGGTTGCCAGGTCCCCCAGGGGGCGGGGAAACCCCTGCTCGATGGGTTGGTTCCCTCCCCGCCCGGATCAGGCTGCTGGGGGGAACCCTACCCCCAAAGTGCCAGGCACGCAGAGATGCTAGTGCCCCTGCCCTCGAATGCTAGTGCCCCTGCCCCCAACGTGCCCAACGCGATGATGTAACTTCCGGGTGATGTTATTGCAGTGCGCGCACAAATCGCCAAAGATCTCCTAGATGGGGACCGGGACTCCCCTGCTGAAAGGTAATTTGGACTTGGCAACCCTAGTTTGAATGGGACCTGAAGACTGCTTCTATCCAAGTTTATTCAGTTCAATGAGCCTTAGACTTGAGTAGGGGTGTGCATTCGGCTCTAGCTGAGCTGAAAAATAGTTGAAAAATACCTTATTGGTACTTACTGGCTTTTCTTTCAGCCAGATATAAAGGGGGGGGGTATATTTTCAGCTACTGAGCATAGCCAATCCCGGATAATCCTGAAAAAAATTGGGATTATCTGAGAAAACAGGATAGCCACAGTTAAACAGCATTTAAAGAGACTGTATTCCCTTTAAACACTGTTCTGGGTGAAGCTGCAGCTTCACAAATACATGTAAAGGGACCACGACACTTTTAAATATCTTTGGCTCCATTATACCCTATGGGGACTATTATAGTCAATGATCCCTATAGGCTATAATAGGGAATCTATCTGGGGATATATATGGAGGTCTGTGGGGGCTGAGTTTTTTGTATTTCTGTATTTTTATGTGCACATGTATGTGCGTGTATGTGTATGCACCTAGAAGTCATGGCAACCTCTGGTGAGTGACCCCTACTGGGGGCATGGAAGATATTCAAAGCGGTGACTGAATAAAGCCTGCCCCTGCCTCTGGTATTCCAAGGAAGTCTCCCATCCAAGTACTAGCCAGAGTCGACCCTGCTTAGCTTCCGAGATCTGACGAGATCGGGCTTGCCTGGGCTATCTAAATCAGGTCGGGGCTGTTTCTTTCGGTAGAAGCACCACATTTTCAGTGTAGTTGCTCGTGCTTCTACTCAAAAGAGCCCTCAAGTTTCAAAAAGATTGGACCATGGGGTCAAATTTTATGGGCCCCCAAAGAAGATGCCTCCGTCCTCCATTATTTCCAAATGGAGGCAAAAAACAGCAAACAAGCATGGACAGATGTCAAACCAGAGTCTCTGCAGTAGAAACTAAAGGAGGGGCATTTTTGCAGAATCAGTGCCACTGTGGCAATGCCAGGTCAACAAATCCAAGCAAAGGGTTTTTCTGCAAGCCTAGCACAGCCAGTGCATGTACAGATTACCCAGCAGAACCAGTGCATGTACAGAGTGCCCAGCAATATCAATGCCACTGTGACAATCCCAGCTCAAGAAATCCAAGCAGGGGTAGTTGTAAGCCAGTGCATGTACAGAGTGCCCAGCAGAACCACTGCGTGTACGAAGTGCTCAGCAGAACCACTGCCACTGTGGCAATGCCAGTTCAACAGATCAATATGGGGGATGCACACACAGAACAGCCAGTGCATGTACAGAGTGCCCAGTAGAACCAGTTCATGTACAGAGTGCTCAGCAGAACCAATGCTACTTAGGCAATGCCAGCTCAACACATCCACGCAAGGGGGATTCCAAGCCCAGCACAGCCAATGCATGTGCAGAGTGCTGAGCAGTACCAGTGCAATGTACAAGTACCCAGCAAAACCCAGTGCCTTTTCTTTAAATGCTTTCATTTTTTCCTCCACTGAAAACAATGGAGGATGGGGGCACCTCCTTTGGGCACTCTGTACATGCACTAGTTCTCCTGGGCACTCTGTACATACACTGGCTGTGGGGCAAGTGATGCTCTGTATTCTTGGTGCTTGGGGGGGATCAACAGTGGGAGGGCTTCTAGTATCCTGGCCCCACTGATGGACCTTCTGATGGCACCTGGTATTTTTGGCCACTGTTTGACAGAGTGTTGGACTAGATGGGCCCTTGGCCTGATCCAACATTGGCTTCTCTTATGTTCTTATGTTCCCTTCCCCGCACTGCTCTCTGCAGCTTGCTCAGAGCCAGCAGACTCTCCCCACCCCAGCATACACAGACAAGACTTTAAAAAAAAAAAAATCG